CTGCTCCACATCTTCAGGCAATTAACAGTTATATGGTGCAATTCCTCAAATAAACCCATTTTTCCCACCCCTCCCCATCTCCACAGGCAAAGCTGGACATGCTCAGCTCTGTGCTGAGGCTAAACCTCGGGCTTTGTGTGCTGGACAGGTTTTCCAGGATGCCATCCTTCCATCAGGCTCTTCCCTTTCCTGGTTAAATACATCACTAGGAACGGCAGTTGGGACTCCGGGCTACTCATTGTGGAGGCAAGTGCTGTCAGGAGGTGGTGGTGGCTCCATCCATGTCGCAGAAGCTACCACCACAGCACAGAAGGCAGCAGTCACTGGTCCCTCGATGGAGCTTTCCATGTGTCGGAATCCATCCTCAACAAAAGCTGCAGCTGGGATATTCCTGCAGTCACCAGCTTCTCCTTCATCGCCTGAAAAAAACCCCAGTGCCAGCAGTCAGCATCACGTTGGTGGGCACAAACCATTCCACAACAACTCCTGCCTCAGAAGCACCTCAAAAGCCTTCCACTCTCCTACTCTGCATCAATTCCAGTGTCAAATACTGCAGCCGTCGTGGCTTCTGGCGCTAAAGATACTTAGAGACAGAAAACTGCTGTTGTACTTGTGAGAAATCACCAGCCCCCATCGCCTCCTCCTCGCTACTAGGCAGCTCACCTCAAATGCTCCTCCAATTCTAAAAGATGCCCACAGAGGGCCTGCAAAGCCCAGGAGAAATGCTTCCCTGAGGTGCCGCAGGAGACTTTGCTCTGAGACATCAACTCAGCCAACAACCACCTCACCCCAGAACCAGCTTCACTGCTCCAAAGCCTCGCGTGTCACTCGCTGGCAAACACCTTGACCAGGCCCAGGGTCTTCTCTTTGCACAGCCAAGAGCTGCTGGTGACAGGGCAGAGAGAGAGGAATTCAAAGTGAGAGACAGGGTACAGGATCAAGAATGGTGGAGAAAGAAATATCCTCATGACACGCTATAGGGTGCAGAAGGAAGACCTTGATTACGGTGACAAGATGCCAGACAGAGAGAAAGAGAGACAGCGGAAATACCGAGGGGCTACAGAGGCAGGGAGGAATGCAAAAGTGGCATCTGGGAGCTGGACAGAGAGAGATGGAGAATGAGAAAATAGTCATGGGCAGAGGGAGGAAGCACCTGGAAGACGAGGACAGGGAGTTTGGTTTCGGAGAGATGGAAAAAGCAGGTACAGGGGAGAAGAGAGAGAATGCAGCGGTGTGGGAAAGGGGAGGGAAAGGGGAGGAGCCAGGAGACAGAAGTGGGGTGACAGCGTCCTGCGGGCCCTGCACTGCCGGGATATCTCGTTTTCCAAGCTGCCAGGAGCCTCTCCCAGACTCTTCTTTCTCCTCTTGCATCTCCCGGCTCTCGGCGGTCCCTGCGCTCCCGGGCACACGCGGGTCCCACAGCGCTGATGGACGAGGCTTCCCGAGCACGGATCCTCGCTTGCGGGGGGGCGGAGCAGCTCAGTGGAGCTCCGACGAGATGGAAAGGCGACCGGCGCCTGTCTCGGGGGGTGTCTGCCCATCCTTGACCCTTCTGCCCCGGGAGTGTCCGTCTCATTCCGGACCCGCCCGCCCCGGCCGCCTGCCCGGGCCGGGAGCAGACACACCGCTCCCTGTTCTCCGTCACTGACCCATCCAAGATCATCCACAGCCGTGCCCCCAAACTGCCGGCATTTCACCCCAAAGTGCGGCTCTCCTAGCAGACGTACGGGTGAGCTCCAGCAGGACCTGGACGAGGGCCCGGAGGGACAAGATAAAGGGAATTGTTTCCCACTGCCAGAGGGCAGGGTTAGAGGGGATATTGGGAAGAAATCCTTCCCTGTGAGGGTGGGGAGGCCTTGGCACAGGTTGCCCAGAGAAGCTGTGGCTGCCCCATCCCTGGAAGTGTCCAAGGCCAAGTTGGACGGAGCTTGGGCCAAGTCACTCCAAGCCCTAAGAACAAGATGAGCTTTATGGTCCCTTCCAGCCCAAACCATTCTGGGATTCCAGGATTTCTTCAGTGCTGTGCCAAAGCACGCAATGCTCCAGCCAGGACTTGGCAAAATTTCATTAAACTTAACAACAACCACTTCACAGCCTCTTTTGAGGTTTTCTTTCCTTAATATGAGCAACCTGAAGCCATGTGCCAGCAGGGAAACCCTTCTTCTGTCCTGTTGCATGGAAAAAGTTGGCAACCCACAGCTTGGACAGGGGCACTCTGTGCTGGGTTAAGAACTGGCTGGAGGGCTGGGCCCAGAGAGTGCTGGTGAACAGAGCTGCATCCAGTTGGGATCCAGTCACCAGTGGTGTCCCCCAGGGATCAGTGCTGGGCCCAGTCCTGTTTAACATCTTTATGGATGATCTAGATGAGGGAATTGAGTCCATCATCAGCAAATTTGCAGATGACACCAAGTTGGGAGGGAGTGTCAATCTGCTGGAAGGCAGGAGGGCTCTGCAGAGGGACCTGGACAGACTGGAGAGTTGGGCTGATTCCAACAAGATGAAATTCAACAAGGCCAAGTGCCGAGTCCTGCACTTTGGCCACAACAACCCCTGCAGCGCTACAGGCTGGGGACAGAGTGGCTGGAGAGCAGCCAGGTGGAAAGGGACCTGGGAGTGCTGATTGACAGGAGGTTGAACATGAGCCAGCAGTGTGCCCAGGTGGCCAAGAAGGCCAATGGCATCCTGGCCTGCATCAAGAACAGTGTGGCCAGCAGGACGAGGGAAGTGATCCTTCCCCTGTACTCTGTGTTGGTGAGGCCGCACCTTGAGTATTGTATTCAGCTCTGGGCCCCTCAGTTCAGGAAGGACATGGAGGTGCTGGAGCAGGTCCAGCGAAGAGCAACCAGGCTGGTGAAGGGACTTGAGCACAAGTCCTATGGGGAGAGGCTGAGGGAGCTGGGGTTGTTTAGTCTGGAGAAGAGGAGGCTCAGGGGTGACCTCATCACTCTCTACAACTACCTGAGAGGAGGTTGTAGCCAGGTGGGGGTCGGTCTCTTCTCCCAGGCAATAAGCAGTAGGACAAGAGGGCACGGGCTTAAGCTCTGCCAGGGGAGGTTTAGGTTGGATATTAGAAAGAAGTTCTTTACAGAGAGAGGGATCAGGCATTGGAATGGCCTGCCCAGAGAGGTGGTGGATTCACAGTCCCTGGAGATTTTTAAGACGAGGCTGGATGTGGCACTGAGTTTCATGATCTGGTAATCACAGTGGGGTTGGATCAAGGGTTGGACTTGATGATCTCGGAGGTCTCTTCCAACCCAGTTAATTCTATGATTCTATGAAAACCAGTCTGGAGAAAGAACCAGTGAGCGCAGGTGGTGGTGTCTATCCTCCCCCTGCATCCCCCTGCTGAAAGGCCATTCCTTAAGCCCAATATCTGGGAAACTGATCCTAAACCTGGGATCAGGGAAACTGAGTTTGAACCCAAATGTTTCACTGGGCTGCAAGTCTAGATTTCAGAAAGAAAAAAAAAGCCAGCATGCATGACAACATTCCCCTAAAACAATTGTTTAAATGGTTCATAATTAGTAAATTTTAAAAATTAAAGCTGAAAAAAAATTATTACAAAAAAGCTAGTCTTTTTTTGTGATCATTGTTTTAATTTTTGAGAGGAAAAAGTGGGGGTTTTTTATTTTCGTTTTATTAATAGACTTCTATTTTCGTTTTTATTTTATAAATCTTTAAAATTTTTATTTTGTAAGGGAAATAATTTTTGCATCTACGATTTCACCTCTATCTCATCTTTTGTTTCCCTATTTATAAATTCCTGTTTTCAATTCCCCCCCCCCCCTTTTCTCCCTCGGCGTCCTCTCGTTCCGCGCAGCCCCGCGTGTATAAAGGAACGAGTGGCCGTGGCGGGGGGTCAGCCAGATGTTAGGAATGGGAAAAAGGCTGGACCACCCCGCGGGATGACAGATGACGTCAGGGCTCCCTTGACCACCACCCGCATTCCGGTGACGTCACCGGCGCGTGCGCGGCGCACCCCCCACCGCCCCCACCCCCGGCGCGGAGCGGAGGATGCGGGGCCGCAGGTGGGTGCGGGGCTGGGGGGCCCTGGGGAGTGCAGTGTGGGGAGAGGGGTTCTAGGGGGCGGGGGTTGGTTCTGTCCGTGCGGGCGGGCCGGGGGTGCGGATTTGGGGCGCAGGCGGGGGTGCGGCATCCCGGGGTGCGTGCGCGGGTGGGCGCGGGCATTGCGGGAGGTGTCGGGGTTCGGGGTGCGTGGCGGCCCCGAGCGCGGGGACTCGGAGGCGGGGGCGGTGCGGGGACGCTGCGGGGGTGGGGTGCAGCAGGGAGGGGCGAGGCTTGAGGAGGGGGATCAGGGGCTCCGCTGCGCGGCGGCGCCAGTGCGGGGCGCTGCGGCGGGGGAGGCGCTGCGGGGGCGTTTGAGGATCTGGGGTGGGGGTTGCGGGGTGTGCGCGTGCGGGGAGCGGCGGAGGGGGGCAGCAGGGGCGTGTGTGCGTGTGCGGGGGATGGGGAGGTGTGCAGGGGTGGGGGATGCATGTGTGCCGCTTTGTGCATGTGTGCAGGGGTGGGTGGGTGGGTGGGTGGGTGGGTGTGCGGGGGGGGTGTACATGTGTTCAGCTCTGTGTGTGCATGTGCATGTGCGTGTATGTGCAAGTATGTGTGCGCTCGGGGGTGTGTGTGCCCGCAGATGTGTGTGTGTGTGTGTGTGCGCAGGCATGTGCAGGTGTGTGTGCAGTTGCAGATGGGTGTATGTGTGCATGTGCAAGTGTGTTTGTTTGCATGTGAAGGTGTGTGTGTGCAGCTGCAGTCTTGTGTGTGTGCAGGTGTGTGCATGAAGTTGGGATGCTGGTGTTTGTGTGGCCTGGTGTCTGGTGCCAGCTGTCCCTGGGTGGTGCAGACGTGGGGGGGGGGGACCACACACATGTGCACAGCGGTTCACAGCATGTGGGTGGGGATGCAGGCATGACCAGGGGATGCAGGTGTTTATGGGGTGTGTATGTGGGGATGCAGGTGTGCACACATTCACAGTGTGTGCGGGTTCAGGTGTGCACAGGGTGTATGGGCATGCAGGTGTGCACATGTGCATAGTGTGTGTATGGATTCAGGTGTGCACAGGTGCACAGTGTGTGTGGATCCAGCTGTGCACAGGGGGTGTGTGGATCCAGCTGTGCACAGGTGTGTGTGGATCCAGCTGTGCACAGGTGCGTGTGGATCCAGCTGTGCACAGGTGTGTGCGGGCGCGTGCTGCGGGCGTTGGAGGCTCGTGCCCATGCCACGGAGCACACGGGTGCACAGGGCTGTGTGGCTGTGCTGCACGTGGGTGTGGGAGCACGTGGGTGTGAGTGGGTGCTGCTCAAAGCCCTAGTCTGGCCAGGTTTCCCCCCAGAGCTGCAACGTTTCTGCTCCCCTCCCCAGGGAAGCATTGTGATGCCTTTACTGGCTATTCGTGGCTTACTACTAGGTTACTATTTGCTTCCTAAGAAGCTGCTGCTCAGACACTACAGGGATATCCTCAGTAACCTTTGAGTTACTGAGTGAAATACTATCAACACACAGCTGAGATGCTGCTGGGATGCTGCTAAGATCCTATCATGAGTTTAGTGGAATGTGGACACGTTACTCTGCAGACTGTAGTAAGGAACTTAGAGGGTGGCACTAAGATTCTCTCAGGATACTATGTGGATGCTAGCGGGCTGCTGTGAGAACTCTACTGAGGTACTGTCAGGGGACTACCAGGATTCTATCAGGACACCACTAAGATATTTCCAGCATATTTCCAGGGCTGATACTGAAATACTCATATGAAGGTACCACTGGAGCAGCTCACGCACTGTCCAGTTGCTCTCAGGGCATGTTGAAGTGTAATTTGCTTTCACTGTACTTATATGGCAGTAAGATAATATCTGGGTATGACTCTGCATTATCAAGATTCTCCCAGGACACTATGAAGATAATAGCTGTATGCCATTACACCACTCTTAGGATCCTACCAGGACACTCCTTATATATTTATATACTGTGGTACTATCAGGGCACTGTGAAGTCTGGAACTAGGATGATGTTGGGATGCTCCTGACATGGCATCAGGATATTCCTGCCTGTGCTAGTACAACATCAGGGCAATGCTGAGCTACTCAGTGGCTGCTACTATGATATTCTAGGTGTAGCAAAAAGCTATTATCAGGATGCTGCTATCAGGATACTGTCTGGGTACTCCAAAGATGCTGCTGAGATCCTTTCACAATTCTAATAAGGCACTGCTAGGATACTACAGGGCCATTACTAGAGGGCCGTCACAAAACTACTAAGGTGCTATCAGGACAGTACTCATTTTTCAGTAGAACGCTCACAGGATGCAAGTGGAATATCAGCAGAATACTCCCAAGATACTACAAGGGCACTAGAGAAGTTAGTGGCAAGATAGTTCTGGTAAGATAGTTGCTATCAGGGCAATGCTCAAACTTTTGGGGTACTATCACCCCGTTACTGATACTAGTATGATACTTTCAGGCCACTGTTAAGATAGTGATACAATATAAGGATACCAGTAAGATACTATCACTTCAGGGAAAAAGGTAATGTTATGATGATTTTACATACTATCAGAGTATCGCTTTGTTGCTACTAGTACGTTACTGCTAGAATAATGTCAGGATGTCAGCATCTTTCTATGAAGACAGTACTAAGATCCTGTTAGGTCACTACTAGGATACTGCAGAGATATTGTTGGTTGTGTAATAGCCCTGGCAGTAGAGTTTCAGTCAGCACAGCAGCAGCAAAGGGAATGGGGAGCCCGGTGGTGTAACCTGTTAGTAGCCTGGTGCCTCACAGGCACCCTCTCCCCGCAGCTAAGGCAGCACATCGGTGTTGAGGAGGATGGAGGCACCCTTGGTGAGCCTGGAGGAGGAGTTTGAGGAGGGGCCCGGGGACGATGGGGGGACCCTGCAGCGCCCTGCGGACCCAGCGCTGGCGGAGCTGGAGAGCTTCTCGGCCGAGATGATGAGCTTCAAGTCGATGGAGGACCTGGTGCAGGAGTTCGACGAGAAGCTCACCGTCTGCTTCCGCAACTACGACGCTGCCACCGAGGGCCTGGCCCCTGTGCGGGGGCACCTCCAGGCACAGGAGGAGGAGGAGCGCCTCCAGGATGAGGAGTGAGTAAGGCCCCCCTGCTTTGGGGACATGTGCCTCCTCGCTCCCCTGAAACCCCCCTGCAGTGCAAACTGTCTCCCATCATTGCAGCACACCGAAGCAGTGGTGTGGTAACCTGGGAGTAAGCCCTCTCAAAGCCAGCATGCCTCCTTGTGCCCTTCCCTGAGCAGCCCCCTGCATCGAGAGCATGGTCATGCTCCGTGTTGGGAATAGCACTGTAGTATTCCTATGACAAAGGATGTCTTTGGGGTCTGCAGGCTACCTTGCTAGCAAGGGACAGCCCACACACATCTCGGGCCATTTGCCTCATAGTATAGCCATGGGGCACCGTGGAGTAGCTGGGTGGTATCCCGTGAGTAACTGTGTAGGATCCTTGGAGGAGCTGCATAGGATCATATGAGGAGGCCATGTGATTGGGCCTGCATGGTCATGACACACCCCTCCTTCCTTCAGCTCACAGTCCAGCTCACCTCTTGCAACGTGATTGTGTAGCACTTCAGAGTAGTGGTGTAGTATCTTATGACTAACACCCCTCTGGGACCTATTGCACCTCCTTGCATGCTTCTAAGCCCCCACCACACACAGATCCATGCCTGGACTGTGACATGGTCGTGCAGCACCTCGGAGTAGCTATGTAGGATCTTCGGAGTAGCTGTGTGGGATCCCTGGAGTAGCATCCTAAGAGGTGGCGCAGCATGTCCCATGTCGTAGGGGGGTCATGACTCCTTCTATGCCAGGAGAGCCCTGGAGGTTGAGCATAAACCTTGAGTAAGGTGTGAGTAGAGCTTAACCACCTACTCTGTACCACGGCAGGGGACATCCAGTTTGGGGTCACATTCCCCCAGGCCCCTCAATAATCGTTGTGCCTTTTGCGTTAAATTCTGCAGTTTCATTAAAAACCTTGCTTTGTTGCAAAATGCCTCTTCTTCCCCAGATCCATGGGCTTTTTTTCCCCAAATCCATGGGCGTTTTTTTCCCCTGTGCTGTTTATACACTCTCACCATTCTCATGGATTTTTGGTGTGTTTAATTGGGATTATTCCCCAGGCCGCACTTGCTAACCCTTATTTCCACCAGGCAGATGAGTTGTTTTAAACCCCAAAAAGCCGCAAATCCGTTGATTTTTTTGTTTTGTTTTGTTGGCTTTTCTTCACCGAAAGCAGCTGAGACCGAACTGATTTTCGCAATTGGCCGAATCGATGGTTTTTCAGAGCAAAACGCAGCTTGGCCGCGCGCCGGGGCTGCCGCGCTGTCACCGCTTTGTGCCGCTCATTGTGTCTTTTTTGGGTCACTTTGGGCAAAACAGGGCTTTTTTTTTTTTTTTCTATTCTTCCTTGAATGAGCTCTGTGTGTGGGGTGGGGGAGGAGCCGGGGCCTTGCCGGCGCTGGATTTCCCGAATTATTAACCATTTCTTGCCATAATTAACCCAGAAATTACTGCTACGCTCAGCACTGGGGGTGCCAGCCCTTTAAGAGCAGGGGGAAAAAGCTAATTTTGGGGGGATAACCGCTGATTTGCTGCGGTTTTGGTAAAAAATAGCAGTGTGGGGGTTCGCTGTGTGCGTTTTTGTGTGTTAATTTTTGAAATCTTTAATTTCAAAGGGAATTCAGCTCTGGTGAGGAGGGAAATAAGATAAATTTAAAAAAAACTGAGCAGTTTAGGGGTTGGAAAGGGGGCAGGGGGGATTGGGGTGATTTTCAAGGAATTAGGATGTGGCACCGTGTTGAACCAAACCCACTGTTTTCTGGTCTTCTATTTTCTCTGTTCCTTCTCCAGTTCTCCACTTTTCCCCCTTTTTCCCTATTTTTCCCCTCACTCCCTCTTTTTACATATATTTTCACTTTTTCCCCTTTTTCTCCCAATTTTTATTTTTTCCCTCTTTTGGCCCTTTTCCTCCTTTCCCTATTCCCTATTTGCCCCTCTTTCCCTTTCTCCCCTTTTTCTCATCTTTCTCCATGTTCCCATTTTTTCATCTTTTCCCTCTTTCTCATTGTTTTTCCTTTTCCCCTCTTTTACGCGAATTTGCTTTCCCCCATTTTTCCTCCTTTTCCCCCTTTTCTCCATCTCCTTTACATCTTTTTTCTCTTTTCTCCTCTGTTTTCCCCTTTTCCCTTTACTCCTTTTCCCCTTCCCCCCCCTCTTCCTTTTTCCTCCTCTTTACTCCACTCACCTCCTTTTTTTCCTTTTCCACCTTTTTCCACTTTTAATTAAATTTTTTCCCTTTTTACCCACCTTTCCTTCCTTTCCTCCACTTCCCCCCTTTTTCCTTCTTTTTACTTTTTTGGACTTTTTTGAACATTTTTCCCCATTTTTCTCCCTCTTTTCCCCTGCTTTTGGTTTTTTCCCCTCTATCCCCCCCTCCTGCATGCAACTTCATTGGGGTAAAATTGGGCAAAATTGGTCCAGCCCTGCAGGGTGGAACCAGACACCCCCAATAATGACACAGAGGAGAAAGTTTAGGGGAATTCTGGGCAATTCTGGGGGATTTTGGTGCATTTTGGGGTATCAGGACCATGGTTTGGGCTGCTTTTGGAAGCTTCTTGGATTGTTTCCAGGTGTTTTAGGACTGTATTTTGGGAAACTTTGGGGTGTTTTGGGGGCATCTCAGGGCATCACAGCTGGTTTTTGGGGTGTTTGGGGGCGTATTTCAGAGCAGCATTTTTGTATGTTTCAGGGACATCTTTTAGGGCCTTTCGGGGCAGCTTTGGGGTCTTTCAGGACTATCTCGAGGTGACAGTTTAGGATGTTGTGTCTGCATTGTGAGGTTTTTCAACATGTTTTTCCAGCTTAGCATTTTGGGGAGTTTTGAGGCATTTTGGGTGTTATGGAAGCGTTTTGGGGTGTTGGACAACTGAGGGATGTTCTGGAGCATTGTGGTGGCGTTTTCGGGTATTTTTAAGGGGTTTCTGGGCAATGTGTCAAGGCAGCATTTTGGGGTGTTTGGGGATGCCAGGTCAATATTTGGAGGCAATGGGAAGCTTTTTGGGTTGGAGTTTGGGGACAGCATTTTGAGATATTTCAGCATATTCTGGAGCAGCATTTTGGATCATTTTGGTCAGTATTTCAGGAAAGCATTTTAGGGTATTTCTGGGTGGTCAAAAGGGACATTTTAGGATGTTTGGGGTAATTCAGGGGACTTTTTTGGGTGGCTGAAGCATTTCAGGGTGGCATTTTGGAGTTTTGGGACCTTTAGGGGCATTTTGGGATATTTCAGGAGAACAACTGGGGACATTTTGGGATGTTCCAGGGCAGCATTTTGAGGTGGTTTGGGGCCTTTCAGAGATTTCTGGGGCCTCGGGGCAGTGTTTTAGAATGATGCTTTGGGCCACTTCAGGGAGACATGATGATGATGTTTTTTGGTGGCATTTTGGGGTGGTCTTTTGGGACATCTGAAGACTTTTTGGAACATTACAGCGGCCTATTGGTGGCGTTTTGGTGGCAGCATTTCAGAATGACATTTGGGGGCATCTCAGGTGCTGGGGCAGCATTTTGGGGTGCTTTGGGGTATTTCAGGGCAATATTTCATGATGCTATTTTGAGAAGCTTTGGGGTCTTCTAGGGCAGTATTTGGGGTCTTCTAGGGTATCATTTGTGGTGTTTTGAATCCCAGTGGTGTTTGGGGATTTTTGTAGGGCCTTTCAGGTTGTTTCTGGGGCTGCATTTTGGGATGTTTCAAGGCATCTCAGTGTGCCATTTTTGAGACGGCTCTCTGAGAGGCAGCATTTCAGGAATTGCCACTCACGACCCACCTCCCTGCAGGGTCTGGGATGCTCTCACTGATGGCTTTGCCCCCCGGAGCTCCCCTCGGCCGTGGCTCCCTGGCACTGAGGCCCCCGATGGCACCAACCCCCAGGTACGGCTGTGGCCCCCCCTTGGCTCTCCAGAGCCCCCCTCTCCTCACGTGGATTGACAGCTGTCAATCATCCCTCAGGCTCAGCGACCATCAGGGCACTGCAAACTACCCAAAAATGGTAGTTTTGGGGTGCTGCAGCACCGGTGCAGTGAGTGTCCACATTTTAGGGTGAAATCACACTGAAATGGGCAAGATGAAGCGTTTAGTTTGACAATCTGGGCTTTGCTGGTTTGTCCCCATGTCAGGGATGGGGTGGGGTATTTTTGGGGGTAGAAAATAGTGTTTTCATTGTTATAGTGAGTTCATGCTGTCAGTTGCTGCTTTTGGGGTTGTAAAAATGCCCCAGAATCCATGGAATTTAACCCATTTGGATTTAACACAGCCCGTGGCTGAAGGGGGAAGAGAAGGTAACTTTCTTAGGTTATTTTCTTCTGAAAAGGTGAAAAAGACTGAAAGGTGGCAAAAAAAAAGATGCCTCATCGTCTGACATCTCCACTCGGCATCTCCATCCATCCCTTCCCTATTCAGAGGTCCCCTCTGCTATGTCCCCACCCAGTGTCTCCATCAGACCATTCAGCTTTACCATCCATCATCTCCCCATTCAACATCCCCAGCATCTCCATGCAGCATATCCAGCCCCTCCTCACCCAATATATTCCATAAAACATCTCTCCATCCAGCAGCTCCATCCAACAGACCTGTACTTCTCCCTGCCTTCTTGCCAGTCTGTTGTCTCCATTCAACAACTCTCCATCCAGTGTCTCCCTATCCAACATCTCCATACATCTCCTTGCAACACCTCCCCTTCCAGTGCTTCCCTGTTCATTGTCTCTGTCTCCAGTGTCTCTATTCAAAGCCTCATCTGACATCCCTGTCCAACACTTCCCCATCCAACATCTCCGTCCATCTCCATTGGGTGTCTCTGTCCAACATCCTCCCACCCAAGATCCCCACCCAGCATCTCCACACAATACCCTCAGTCCAATGTCTCGTCGTGCCATCCCCCCACGCAGCGTGTGCCCCTGAGCCAGAGTTCCTGGTGCCTCTCCCTGTGCCAGGGCCAGGGCCGTGTCTGTGTCTGTGCTGGGCTGTGCCTGGGCCAGGCCGGGCCTGTGGTGGCACCAAGGCTGCCCAGCCTGTGTCTCCTGCAGCTTGGTGGGAAGGAGGAGGAGGAGGAGGAGGAGGAGGAGGAGGAGCTCACTGAGAGGAGTGAGCAGGACTTGGGCATCAACGAAGAGCCGCTGCTGACAGCTGAGCAGGTACCCCCAGCCCCACGGGCACCTGGATCCCTGCGTGTCCTTTAACCTTCCCCTCCCCAGCATCATGGCCATGTGCTGAAAGCACAAGAAAAGGCCAAATCCTATTATCTTGGGATGAGGACGTGGAACATGGATGTGGATGTAAAGGGAAGTGCAGGCAGTGGGTGCTGGATAAAGGGTGGCGTGGGAAGAATGAAAGGGGGGCAGGGAGGCAGAGGTGGGTTGCAGCTCCAGGATGCTGGTGTGGAGGCAGGATGTGGATGAGAGGTGCAGGATGCAGGTGCCAGATGCAGGGTGCAGGTATGGGATATGGGATGCAGGATGCAGAGTACAGGAGTGGGGAGGGGGATGCGGAGGCGGCTGCAGGATGTGGAGGCTGGATAGAGAAAGGATGCAGATGCAGGTGCAAGTACAGGAGGAGGAGGAGGAGGGGGTTGCAGAGAGCTGGATGCAAATTTAGGAGGATGCAGGTCCAGAGTGCCCGTGGCATGTGGGATTTGGATGCAGATGGGAATGTGGGATGCAGGATGCAAATGGAGGACCCGAGGTACAGATGCATGTAAATGCAAGTGTGGATGCAGGATGGAGGGAGCAGGATGCAGCTGGAGGATGAAGAGGAGGATGCAGGTGCAAGATAATAAGGGAGGATGCAGATGGAGCAGGTTGGAGATGGAGGTTGCAGGTGCTAGTAAGGATGGAGAAAGCAGAATGCAAATGGAGTCAGAGGATCCAGGTGCAGGATGCAGGGAGCACGTTGCAGATATTGGTGCAGGACATGGATGCAGAGTGCGGGTGCAGATGGGGAGGCAGAGGGCAGATGTGTAGATGTGGATGCAGGATGGGGAGGCAGGGGGCAGCTGTGGGTGCAGGGTGCAGATACAAGGTGGAGGCTGGACGCAAGTGCAAATGGAGGACACTGATGTCCTGCAGGTCATCGAGGAGCTGGAGGAGCTGATGCAAAGTTCGCCTGACCCTGAGGCTGACCCCGAGGGTGAGGAGGAAGAGGAGGAGGAGGATGAGGAGGAGGACACTGAGGCTGATGCTGATGGTGAAGGTGGAGGCGGGGGCACAGAGCCCATCCTGCTGCGGGAGCTGCGTGCTTTCTCCCCTGCCTTCAACAACAACTGCTCCCACGAAGGTACGGCCAGCAAAGCCCAAGCCAGTCACTTTTGGGGGACAATTCCAACCAAATTGGACAACTGAGTCTCCCCAGGCCTCAGTGCTGGCTTGCTCCAGGGCTTGGCCAGAGGGGCTGTTGGTAAAAACTGAAGAACAGAGGGGTGTGACTCAGGGTTCGCCAGGAGCCTTTGAGTTCCACATGGAGCGCACCATGCGCATGGGATTTGTCACTAATGGCATGGGGTGTGTCACTGATCATCCCAGGCATTTCACTAATTACTCTGCACATTCCCCTAATTACAGAGCCCCTTTATCACACCACAAATGTCACTAGTCACATCATGCATGTCACTAAATCGCACCATGCACATCACTGTGAATGACCCCGACTGCACCTTGTATGTCACTAATAGTGCCAGGCAGTTCTGTAATTGCTCTGGGCACGGCATTAATCAGTAATTGCACAATAGATTTATTTCTTGGTGGCTCAGGAAAGAAATGCAGAGCACATCTCACTCAGCACCTCTCACTCATGCATCTCAGGCCAGATGCATTTTAATCGTTGCCGTGTGCACTTCACTGGCACCGGCCACTTTCCTGGTTTCACCCTGCATGTCACTGGCTGCACCAAGTCCAGAGGAGGCCACAGAGATGTTCTGAGGGCTGGAGCCCCTCTGCTCTGCAGCGAGGCTGGGAGAGCTGGGGGGTTCACCTGGAGAAGAGAAGGTTTCAGGGAGACTGTAGAACTCATTTCAGTGCCTAAAGGGGCTCCAGGAGAGCTGGAGGAGGGCTTCGGACAGAGGCCTGGACGATAAGGGGTAATGGGTTCCTGCTGCCAGAGGGAAGGGTTAGATGGGATACTGGGGAGAAATTCTTCCTTGTGAGGGTGGGGAGGCCCTGGCACAGGTTGCCCAGAGAAACTGTGGCTGCCCCATCCCTGGAAGTGTCCGAGGCCAGGTTGCGTGAGGCTTGGAGCAACCTGGTCAATGGGAGGTGTCCCTGCCACGAGATAGATTTCAGTGCCCCTTCCAACCCAAGCCCGCTGTGGGATGTGCCCTTGGGCACGAGCCCGTCTCTAACCCGGCACCGGCGCAGGGCTGGGCCGGCTGTCGGCGCGGGAGCTGGCGGCGGCGGCGGGCCGGGCCGAGGCGGCAAGCCGGGCGCTGTCGGCGGAGCTGGTGGCACAGCTGGCACGGCGGGACGAGCTGGCCTTCGAGAAGGAGGTGAAGACGGCGTTCATCGGGGCGCTGCTGGCCGTGCAGGGCGAGCAGCGGGAGCAGCGAGAGGCCGCCCGGCGCCGCCGCCGGGACAAGGGGCTGAGCCTGCAAGGGGGGCGTCCCGACCGCGGGAACCACATGCCCCGGAAGGTGGGGGGGGACATGGTGGCCGTGGGGACAGCAGTGGGACATTGGGCCAGGCAGGGGATGAAGGGGGGTTGTGGGGGATGTGGGGATGGGGCAGAGGGACGTGGGGGCACGGGGATGAGGGATGGGATGGTATAGGGTAAGGTGGGAATGGGAATGGTGAAAGGATGGGGCAGAGGGACATGGAATGGGGGGATGAGGAATGGGGTGGGATGAGGTTGCATGGGACAGGGGAATGTGGAGATGGAAGTGGTGACAGGATGGGGCAGAGACACATGGGCCAGGGCTGGGGGGACATGGAATAAAGGAATAGGGAGGACGTGGGATAGGGTGACATGGAGCAGGGGGATGAGGGGATACGGGATGGGGACACGGAGCAGGGGGATGGGAGGGATATGGAACAGAGGGACATAGACAGGGTGTGGATGCAGGAACAGAGAGCAGCTCCATGGGGGGACAGGGATGTGGGGACAGAGGATGGGATAGATAAACATGGTGCGGGGGGGCATGTGATGACAGGGCAAGGGGACAGGGGACATGGGGACATAGGGAGTAGGTGATGTGGGACTGGGAAAAAGGAGGGATGTGGATGGGAGTCAGGGAGCCTGGGGAATGTCGGTGCCAGAGGAGGTGTCAAGGGTGATGTTGCTGTCCCCGGGAGGTGACAGGGTGACACATTTACCCCCCAGCGCTTCAGCATGGAGGGCATCTCCAGCATCCTGCACTCCGGCCTGCGCCAGACTTTTGGTCCTACCACCAACGAGAAACAGGTGCCCTTTGCCTCCTAAAAATATTGCTCAAATTTGTTCCCTTTCACTCCCCCTCCCCGCAGTCCCCATTTCCTTGCATCCCCCAGCGCCCTTTTAAAATGATTTTAAGTTTTACAACCCTGCTCCATCCCTTATACCCTCCTAATGCATCCTGCAAGCATCAGTGGTTTTCACCCCAAAAAGTCCTCCCTGAGCAGGGATGGATTTGGATGGAGTTTGCAGCACCCAATTTATTCAGTACTCCCCAGAATCACAGGAATTTTGCAGGAGTACTCTATTTCTCCATGAGTTTGGGATGGGGTTTTTCTCAAAGCAGTGCAAAAAACAGGCAATTTTGTGCCACCTGGGTGGTTTTTTGGGGTGGCTTTTGTTTTCGCAGTACCTGAACACAGTGATTCCCTACGAGAAGAAGGGCTCACCGCCCTCCGTTGAGGACCTGCAGATGCTCACCAACAGTGAGTATTTCTAGGAGCTGCCATTTTGGGGCAGAATTGAACATTTTGGGGACACAAAGGCACATTTGCATTGCTGCAGCAGCTGTGGTTTGGGGTATCATTGTAGCACAGTCAGTCTGGGGGATGATCACCTTTTTTCTCTGCATAGTTGCAGAATGGTCAAATTGAGGTGCTACCACCTGTGTTGCATCATCATTGCAACAAACCTATTTTGGAGGAGAAATACCTGTTTTGCATCACTGCAGCACAGCTGGTTTGCAGCCAAAACCTCCATTCCAATTTATGCGTCTTATACCAGAGCTGATATGGGGCTAAATTACCTGTTCTACATTGCCATGGATTGGCTAATTGGGGGTGAAAGTGCTTTTTTTGGATGCTTCCAAAAAAACCCTGCTGCATTGTGAGAAATTCTATGGTGACTGTGGGGCTGGTTTTGGGGGGGGGGAGGAAATGGCATTTGGGAGGCAGCAGGGCTGGGCTCACAGCTCCATTCCCCCTCACAGTCCTGTTTGCCATGAAGGAGGGGAATGAGAAGGTGCCCACGTTGCTCACAGATTACATCCTCAAAGGTACCTGTTCCCCTCCTGCCTGCCCTGGGCACACCTTGGGTGCAGCTCCTGTGAAGCCCTTGTGCCTCTCTGCTTCCACCATGGATCCCTCCTGCCTCTCCCTTGGGTCCTTTGTGCATCCTCTGCCCATCCCTTATGCAACTTCATGCATCCCTTACACATTTCCCATGCATCCTCCATGCATCCCTGGAGAATCTTGGATCCATCCTTTGTGCATTCCTCCTGCATCTCTGGTGCTTCCTTTGTGCCTCTTCCATTCTTTCAGGATTCTGGCTGCATCTCCTGCACATCCCTCAGGCAGTTTGTGTTTAGGCCTCATGTGTGGGGATCCCTGTGCACCTCCCTGCACCATCCTGGGGCCAGTCTGCTTCCTCCAAGCAACCTCACCACCCTCTGTGCACCCCCTCTCAGCCCCCATGCCCCATGGAGCAGCCCTCCTCTGCCTTCCTCAGGCATACCTGTTCATCTTCCTGAGCATTCTTGGGCATCCCTTTGCCTCTCCCACACCCCTGCTGTCCATCTCTCAGGTAGCCTCCTGAGTCCCCATGCACATGAGCACACTCATGTGCCCCTGGGTGTCCTTGTGCACACTCGTGTGTCCTTATGCAGCCCCCAGGCACTCCTGTGCGCCCTGTGCAGCCCAGATCAAGCCTGGGGGTCACCACGCACCCTTGTGCAGCATTTCATGTGCTAAGGCACTGTGCATCCTTGTGCATCCTCATGTATCCTGGTACATCCCCATTCACATCCTGTATCCCTGTGCATCCTTGTGCCTCCCTGTGCACACTTATGCATCCTCATGCATCCCATGCACACTTGTCTGTCCCTGTGCACACATCCTCAGGCATCCCTGTGCATCCTCCTGCATCCCTCTGCACACACGTGCATCCTCATGCATCCCTCTGCATCCCCCATGCACACTCATCTGTCCCTGTGCACACATGCTCATGCACACTCCTGCACCCCCATGCATCCTCCTGCATCCTTGTGCCTCACAGTGCACACTCCTGCATCCCTCTGCATCCTCCTGCATCCCTCTGCATCCTCATGCTTCTGTGTGCACACTTCTGCATCCCTGTGCATCCTCTTGCATCCTTGTGCATCCCTGTGTGCATTCCTGCATCACTGTGCATCCCCCTGCATCCCTGTGCACACTTGTGCATCCTCATGCATCCCGGTACATCCCCATGCACACTCATCTGTCCCTGAGCACACTCCAGCACTCCTCTGCATCCTCCTGCATCCTGTGCCCACTCAGGCCTCCCTGTGCCCGCAGTGTCCCCTGTGGGGTGCCCCCCAGGCCTCTCTCTTTCTCTCTCTCTCTGCAGTTCTCTGCCCGACCTGACGTGGCGCTGCCCTCGCATCCCCACCCTGGCGCCCCCCAAAATGGGGCCAAACCCTAGGAAAACGGGTCGCCCGTGGCTCCCCCCCCCGCACTCCTCCCTTTGCACAGCTGGGAATAAAGGATTCCTTACATTAATTAGGCAACTGGCCTCCGGTGTCTGTGTCCCCTCTGCTCGTGGCAGCGCTTTGTAACTTTCCGGTAGAAAAATGCAGTTTTTAAGCAAAAAAATCCCAATGTGGACTTTGCTGCAGTGCTCATGAATATTCTGGAATCTATAAAATATGCAGATTTCTGGCTAATGAGCGGCTGGGTGCTCAGAGGTGGCTGCAGCTGTCGGCATCCCAGGGGTGAAAGTCAACTCAGTGAAATTCCATTCTCAGAGATTTTTTTCCCCTTTTTTTTTTTACACTTTTCTGCAGCCCCATTTTCTGCTAAAAACTGCAAAAATCACCTTTTTTCCCCCCCCAAAATATCAACACATTAATTAGCAATGGCTTTTTAGGAAATGGGGGGGCTTCTTTTGGCGGAGAATTGCTCTGGTTTGGGTTTGTCACTCATTTTTGGAGAGAGTCCCTAATTTGGGGACTCTTTGCTCATTTTTGGAGTGTTGTCGTTCATTGTAGGGCAGAATCAGTCATTTTGGTGGAAGGCACTTTTATAAGAGAGTCACTCGTTTCCAGGAGGATCACCAGTTTTGGGGGCATGTCACTAATTTGGGGGATTATTGCTCATTTTGGGGGAGAATTGTTCATTTGGGGGAAACGTCATGGTTTTGAGAAGATCATGTCTGGGTACCACTTGAAAAAAAAATCCCTTCATTTTGGAGGAGCATCCCTCTTTTGGGGAGAGCTTCATTCATTTCTGGAAAATACTACTTTTTGCTGGGGGCACATCCCTCATTTTTGGAAAGCACAACATATTTTGAGGCAGCATCACCCCTTCTGGGGTGGGTCACTCCTCTTCGGGAAGCATCACTTCTTTTGGGGGAGAATTATTCTTTTTGGAGAATACAACTCATTCTGGGTGAACATCACACATTCTGGGGTGAACACTCATTTTGGGGAGAATCACCCATTTCAGGGGGATATTTGCCCCTTTTGGATCACCACTGGATTTTGAAGAATATCCCTCATTTTTGGAGACTGTTAACTCATTTTGGGGCTGAGCATCACCCATTTTGGGGTTGTGTTTAATGTTTTAGGGAAGATCACTCTTTTGGGGGAAGAATCACTCATTTTTGGAGAACACAGCTCATTTTGGGGTAACCATCACTGATTTGGGAGGGGGGGGTATAATTAATTTGTGGGCAAAATCCTGTTGGAGCTCACTTGGGGTGGAGGGGCATCTCTCATTTTTGGGGCACTGTACTTAAGGAAGTATAAATCAAATTTTCTCCACATCACTTAACTACCAATTTGGGTCCATTCACCCATTGGGTGGGGAAGTTATTCCAGCATTTTGGATCTTCTCTGCTCACAGGAAGAAGCTGCCAAGAAAATACAGCTGCAACCCCTCATCTCGTAGCACTTTATAATAAATGGCCTGGAATTAATACTAAATTACAATGAATCCTTTATGAAATTACAGATTACATTCACACCAGATCAGTACTGAAAAATAGGCTTTTCTGCCTATTGCATCATTCGTGGTTTTTACCCTGGCTCCTGTTTGGGTTTTTTTAATCAACCCTTTAAGAGCCAAAAAAAAAAAAAGAAAAAGGACAATACGGGCAAAAAGCCACAAAGAAAACTATCCTTCTTATAGAATCCTACATTTAGAGCAGGAACCTGCAGAAGAAAATTTCTTTATTTTTTGCCCTGTTTTGCTTTTGCGTTTTCCTCCCATGCCATGTTTTAAGGTGAAACAGACCCTTTTGTTGGCATTTGGAAATAAAAAAAAGAATGCAAATTCAGGGGTTTTGGCTGTTGCCCTCCCCCCATGGTGCTAAAACTGCACCATTTTCCCACGTGGAGGGAAAATTCCAGGGAGAAACCATCTTTCAAGCAACAATATTGAGATTCCTTCCACCCATGCGAACCCAGGCGGGGGGGGGAGGGGGTCACCATCCAATTCTGGGTGAAATCTTGCATTTTTTAAACTCATCTTTTTCCCTATTTTTTCCTGAATCAGCACCAAAGCTCCTTGGAAAAGTTTCACTCCCAACAGCCTTTGCCCCAGCTCTGCATCCCTTAAGGATGAGAATGGGGTGAGTTGGGTTTTTTTTTCCAGATTCAATGGGGTTTTAGCACATAAATTAAAGGAGTTGGAGGAGTGTCCTCCCTTTTCCAGAAAGTTGTGTCCGGAGTCACCAAACAGCCGCAGCACTGGGGGCAAAGTGGGGGGGTTTGGGCAACCCAGTGGGTGGAGCACCAAGCCCTCCTCAGATTCAGCAGAACTTGCACTCGCCGGTTATTTCTCTTCCCCCTCTGTGCCCATGTTTATGCTTGTGAATAATCTTCTTGGGGGAAAAAAACCCAAAAAGCATTAAGTCCTGGGGTTGGTGTGGTTTTCCTTCACACCAAGAAATCCAAGGGGTGGACGGGGTGGCCCACTGCAGAAAACCTGCCGTCGCCCAACGGCATCCGAGCATCGCGCGGGGGAAACACCGTTCCCTAAAAACGTTTCTGCTTCACCAAAAAAATGAAGGGGAAAATGAAAGATAAAACCTGAAATAAAAGATTAATTTGGCCACAATATGTGCCTTGTAAACATGTGTCTTTCACTTCCACGCGCTGGCAGGGTGGTGCCCGTGCTCCTGTGCGCAGCCGGGGCAGCCACCGGCGCCGCCAGTTTGCTTTTCTCTCGCGAATTTTTTTGTTCTTGCCTTTTTTGTTTGATTTTGGCATTTTGAGGGAGGGAATTTTGTGTCTGGTGGTGTCAGTGATTTGGGGTGGCTGCAGGAGGAGCTATTCCAGCGAGTCACTGTGGTCCAAGCCGAGATCAGTGCCAGGTGCTGCTGGGAGGCCACCGGGCTCTTCCTCCAGCTCTTCCTCCTCTTCCTCCTCCTCCTCCATCTCGTCCTCGTCCTCCTCATCCTCCTCTTCTTCCTCAGTGCCGTCCAGGGAGTCCTCGTGGGCTGCCAGCATGGCCTGCTGCATGGCCATGGTGGCCGTGGCCGATGAAAGGGGTTGGAGGTTGTCCATGCTGAGCGAGCCTGAAATTTAAAAAAATAAAGAAATAAGGATTCCCCAACTAATACAAAAAAGGACAAAAAAAGTGCATAAATCAGGAATAAATCAAGTGAAAAGCTCAGAGAGCACCCTGTAGTGTGTCCCACCTGCACCAATCACACCTCAGTGTCCAAGTCTTAATTTTTCTAGCTAATGTATTGTCATTAAATGACAAGAGACCTTCACTTCTGAGCAAGTAGATGCCCAAATTGGTTGGGCAGATCTTGTCTTCATCTTCTCTTAACTCTCATATTCCACTCTTCTTGTCTTCTCATCTTGCCTGGTCTATGCTCATCTCTGCTCTCTTCACCTCTTCTCTCCTCTTCATTTTCCTCATCTGTTCTCTGTTCATCTCTCTTTATGCCTTGTCTCATCTGTCATCTGATCTTAATCTTCTCTATTCTTTCCATTTTCAGCATCTATACTCCTCCTCTCCATCTCTCCATCTCTGATCCTGCTCTGCTCTCCTCTCCTCTCCCTTCCTCTCCTCTCTTTATTTCGCCCTTTTCCCCCTTCCCAGCACCTCAGCAGATACCCCAATTCCCAAGTGAGTGATTGCCAACGGCAGTTCCTGTGCCAAGGGGATGGGAGTGCCCCATTGCTAATGCCTTGTGATGGCCAACTGGAAGGAACTACTTGCACGGGCCACATGTTTTTCCTCACAGTGTAACAAAGGGCTCTAAAAGTCCTTAATTACTAATTAAGGCCATCACTTAATGCATGGCCACTCCTTCCTGGAAGGGCAGGGGGCACTGGGGCTTGTCCTTACCGTCAGGATTTGTCCCTGAATTGCCGCCCTGCTGCTGCAGGACCCCGGCAGCAATGGAGTTGGGCCAGAACCTCTGCGTGGGCCGGTGCTGGGATTTGATTTTCTTGGCTTTGGGGGCAGGATCCGGGTTGCTGGCATCGAGCATGGGCTGCAGGATGCGTCTCCGGGCATTTATGAACCTTTCCATGGAAAAGGGAGAGCACTGGAGTAAATGTGAGTCGTTACACCAGCACTGAGCACTCGTTACACCAACACGAGATGTTACGGCAAATCAATGAGTTACAATAGAAAACCTTCTCAAAAGTAACTTCGCTGGGGGGGGTTGACTCTATTCCATCTGCCTGTGGCACATTATACCACTGCATTAATTTTTCCAGCTGAGTGGGAAGATGCTACACACTGGATTTGCCAGGAGAGGGCACTGAGACCTCACAAAACAATGCTGCACCGAACACGTTTCTTGTATCCCAGAAATCACAGAATTATAGATTATGCTGAGTTAGAAGGGACTTACCAGGATCATTGAGTCCAACTCTTGGTCCTATGCAGGAGACCCCAAAAATTGGCCCTAACCACCCAAGTTACCCCCAAAAAAGTAGTACACAGCACCAAAATAGTGTGAAAAAAAAGTCCTAAAGCCAACAAGCAGGTCACCAATGCACTCACCAGTTGTTGACTTGCAAGAGGGTCAGGTTGGTTTGGGCAGCAATTTGCCTCTTCTCATCCTCTGTGGGGTAGGGGTGCTGGAAAAAAAACAGGGATGGGGCAGCAAAATGAAATCCCTGCATGCAAACAAGTGGACCTGAATGAAAAAAATAATTAAAATCCGCCTTTTTTTTTTATTATTTCCCCCCCCTAAATTTGGTGGGTCCTTGCATTTGCAAGATGCATGGTTGAAGGATGGCATCCAAAGGCATCAAGATTTCCCTCATGTCCTTAGGGCTTTCCCAAGACTTTCCATCAAAGGCTTTTCCTTCAAGGAAAATGTTCATTTTTTTAAAAGAAAATTAAGCGATTTTCTAATTATGGTTGTTGGTGAAGGTGGGAATTTGGCTTCAAAACCCACCAAGACCCACAATGTTAGAGGCACCAATAAAACCCTGAGTCATCTGCACTGGGAGACCACCAGCACTCAAAGCTTCAGCAACCTCCTCCCCGCCATGCTAAAATCCTCCTTTCCACCCCCAAAAACGAAATTATCAAACCTGCCCCACGTGTCACATTTTGGAGCCTCAAGCCAGTGACAGTGTTGATTGCAGTGACTTGTTTTCTAGCTGTTACCCCCAAACCAGTGTGATTTCCTTGACAAAACCACCCAAAGTCAGTGCACACTGGAGATTCATGTCCCACCAGAGCCGTAGTTGTTAAAAAAGGCTCCTTTTTTTGGCAGAAGTATCCCATTTTTGGTATATTATTGCCAACATTCTTTCTTGCTGCTGGTGCTCCAAAACTTCCAAGATGATAAGCATAGATGCTATTTGGTTACAAACCACATTATCCATGATGCCAGATGCAGAAATCCCATGGAGAAGCCAAAGTTTCTTCTGATCAAGCTGAGAGCAAAGGTCCAACCCCCCACTAGGAGAATTTCTTTTAGTTTTTTCAATCCTGCTTTGGAAATCTCAGACCATGGGGTTCTCCTGGCACCTGGCAGAAAATGGCTTCTCAGTTTCTAGTCTTCTAAATCCTTTTTTGTGTTTGCAAACCTGCACTTCTGCCCTCCAGAAACGCGGGAGATGTTGGGAGGGCAGCCCAACACTGCAATACTCCTGTCCTCAACCCAGTAAATCCAAAATTTCCCATTAAAAAAAAAAGGCTGGGAAGTCCCGAACCTGCTGCTGCTCCACGTCCTGGCTGAGGTTTTTCCACAAGTTGCTCCTTGGAGCTGCTTGGAGCTGCATTGCTGATGCCTTGGGGATCTCCCACCTTCCTGGAGAGCAAGTCTTTGCAATCAGTTTCCAAGAGATTTCTTGGCTGAATTATGCAGGAAAAAGGGGTGGGATTTTTAGCATTTTGCCTTTCTCCAGGCCCCACTGATGGGAGAGAAATCTTCTTGCATGAAAATATCCAGGTTGCATCTAAGCTTATCTCCATCTCCAATCCCCCCAAAATGGGGTGACTTTGTAATTCTGCATTTTGACTGATGACTGATGTGCCACAGCCCTACCTGTGAGGCAGCTTTCACATTTCAGCCTGATAGGAAAGGGTACTCTGGAGCTGTTCACTGTAAAAAAATGCTTTATTATCCATCTGCAAAAGTTCAGGGAAACCCCTTTCTAGTTTTGTTCACTTCTTCGTGCCTTAAGGGAATGGTTTTTTCACCTGCAGTGAAAATGGTCATGCCCAAAATACTACAAAAATACAAGCACAGCCACTTTATGCCTCTGAATACAGATTCAGACAAACCACCACCTGGATTTGAACATTTTGGGGCTTTTTTCCCCCAGCTTGCAGGGTGTTTTGGTGACTGTGGTGCTCACCATGAGATGCTGGAAGAGCCATGAGCGCATGATGTTGGTGGCATGTTTGGGCAGGACGCCCCGTTTGTTCTTGGACTTCTTGTCCTCACCGTCAAGGAGGGAGGTAAGATCCAGGTTCACCTGTCAGGGGACAGGAATAGGGAGAGAACTGGTTGAAAATGGCCATCGGTAACCCCACAAATGACCAAAACTGTCAAAAAAAATGAACAAAACCAACAAAGAAATGAGCAAAGCCAACCCAAATTGTGGGTGGGATGAGTGCACTTACAGGGAGCACCTAAAACCCACTTCCCCCTCCACCACATTTGCATTAAATGCACATTTTCTCCCAGGATCTGTATTTTTTATCTCCACTTTTTTGTTAATGTTTTGCAAGGGACAATGGCATAGTTGGGGACCGCAGTGATGAAGACACAACCAATTTCAATGTGCGATTTAAGAGGAAAACACTTTTACCTTAAAAAAGCAATGAAAATAAACTCAAACGTCATAAAAAGATTATTTTCTCAACCGAAAGTTAAAACCCTGCCACTCACTAACCCTCTGCAAATCCAGGGTTCTCACCCAGCTGATTCCACCCCAAGAAGGATGCCCTTTCCCACCACAAGGAGGAAGATGTCCATTGAGCCAAAATTTGCTTTTTTCCTCCCCCAAAATTAAAAATAAGCATCTTGCTGCAAGAGAAGTTTTAATGAGGATGCAGGAACCGAACTGAAATCTAAGCACTTGAGTTAAAAAGGGAGGTTTTTTTTCCACCTCTTCATCAAAACACTTCTCCTGGATGAATTAAACATCAGGCCAGCAGGTCCCTGTGATTCCCCTGGGCTCCAGCTGAATAAATCATGCTGGCGGCACAGGAAGAGCATCCGGAGGTGCTTGTCCGGGGCTCTCTCCCTGCCCCAATATTCCCTGTGCGCATGTTTTTCCCACCACAGAGGATTTTGCTGCAAGATTTAAACCTGTGATGGAGAGATATTAAAGAGAGAATTTTTTCTTAAAGCATTGCACAGGCAATAAAACCTGCCAGGGAGCTGCCACTGCTTTCCAAAGTGTCATTTATTGATTGTTCTGTAAGAGGTTCCTGCAACTAAAACGGAGTATTTCAGAAAAATTGGGGGGGGGGGGGCAGGATTTTTGCTGCTTGGCCCCTGGGAAGTAGCACAGCAGAAATGGATGGGGTTTTTTTCCCCAAAATTCCTGGGGAATGGAGGTTAAGAAGAATTCATTGTCTTCTTGCAAGAATGCAGGGAAACCCTTTGTAGTTCACTGCAATGTCAAAAAAAAAAACTCCCAAAACCAAAAGTGGAATAAAACCAGAGGAAATGGCTAAAAAATATCTCCAAATCTAGAAAGCAAGGGAAAAAACCAAGCCTTTCTCACAAACTTTGATTACTGTACTGGACAGGCAATGCCAGTGATCCTAGATTGCAATATATATCACTGTTATAATAACATCTATCCTATCCTATCCCATCCCAACATATCCTTTTCCATCCTATCCTATCCTATAATATATAGTATACAATTAATATAGAATATATCATTTACAATATATAATATAGCATATAGAATAGAATCTTCTATTATGCATTATATCATATTTTAATTATTATTTTATATTGCACAATATAATATGTGCATTGTTATATATTATATATTGTAATATTTTATAACAATAATATAAGTATTGCTGTAACAACTTAGATCATTGCTATAATTCGTTAGCTACCCCAAAGGAACCTGGCAGATGGATTTAATCAATGTTTCGTGCTAATTAAAAATTTAGGATGCTCCAAGGGTTGAATTCCAACTCAGCACATTCCATGAATTCATGGAGGAAACTGGTGGACTTTGCTTGCTGAAGTCCCAAGCACTGGGTAAAAGGGGGATTTGGAGTGGGAAGGTCTCACCTGGGCGTTGGGGATCTGCAGGGCACCGGGGGCGATGGCTTGGGCAAGGACCTGGCCCTGCGACGTCACCATCGTCACAGGCTGGTACAAGGCTCCACCTAGGGAAGGAAACATTTGTGATGGTGCTGAACTCCCCCAAATTTCTACCTGCCCACCCAGCCTTCCCCGTGGGCCCTACCTGGCACGGCGGGGGAGCCACTGGCGGTGCTCATGGCCAGGTTGCCGGGCGGCAGCGCGGCCGCTGGCACCACAATGCCCGGCGGAGGGTTGGACGCGGGTGGCAGGGCTGCCGGAGAGCTCTGCAGCATCTCCTGCAGGGGAGGAGAAAAACATGAAACCCGTGAATTTTGTATATTTTTGCCCGTACAATAACTTTGCCCCATCGCTCTTTTCATGTTCCTGTGGTTTAACAGGCGAAAGTGCAGACAAAAGGGGATTTTTCAGTTTGTTGCAACCACAAGAAAGAGACAGAAAAATAAGGATTTATGCTCTGCCAGGCTCCCATTTAACATCTTACCCACACTCACCTTCTTTATGCAACCACTATTTCCCATAAGGAAAAATGAAAGGGAAAAAAAAATCAGGATAGACCAGAAGATGCAGCTCCTTTTCTCCATCCAACAGAGCAACAGGGATGGGAATCTGAATGCACCAACCAATTAATTTTACATCAAGCCCTGGGTGTGCCATTCCACAGCGAGCTGGGGCACTCTGTGTCCACACTGATGCATTTCCCATTGCTGGGGTGGGGAGGGAAATGTGAGATCTGTTCCTTTTTCCTCCTTTTTCTCCATTGCGTTCATGCAGCTTTTTCCCTATCAGTCAAGGTTCTCAATAAACTTCATGGTTTTGCTATTAAAACACCTTACTGCATTTTCATTGCAATGCCAAGCCCAAAACTTTGGACCCAATGCCTCTGCTACAAGTTATTTTTGTCCTCCCCATTGATGATCTGAATATTATTTATCTGGAAATTTTCCTGCAGTTGCCGCGAAATTTTCACTCACCTGCCAGACAACTCTTTTCATAGCTGAATTAATTTAAAAAAAAAGCAAATACAACCACAAAATACTTGTACTTTTTTTTTCTTTTAGTGTTCCTTCCCCACCTCCAGTCCTCTGGGGGACGTGGTTTTCAGTTTCAAAACTGAGGATTTCTCAGCATCCAGTCTTTTTTGCACACACTTGGACTTGACTCTTGCTAAGCATCTGGCTAACAAACACGGTGGAAATATTCATAGAAAACCAAGCATGATCCAGGAGAACCTCAAAAAGCAGCCAGATACAGCCAAGGTCAACCAGAGATTTGGAGCAGCCTGAAGACCTCTAACTTCCTTCTTCTGCCTTGTTTTTCCATGATTCTTCCTAAAGAAGGGCATCTGCAAGACTATTTTTGGAAGTGCATTGGTAAGAAATCATTTGAAATATCACAAAATTGAAACTGCTGTTTCCAGATACAGTGGTCAAAGCCACTTTCAACAGGATTTTATGATGACAAAAATTGCAATTTTTTTGTGGTGTAGAGGAAAGCTGTCCCAAAACACCATCTCAGTGGTGTCCAAAAAGGCAGAATATTGGTAATTATTAGAAAAAGACATTAAAGAAATTCATGGTGTTCTGCAACAGAACTGTGAAAACAAGGGGAACCAATGCAAGTGGAGGTTCTGCCTTAAAATAAATACAGATAGATATCTCCAAGAAGATTTATTTTTTAAAATACATTTTGCATACTAATTGCCTCAGATTGCAAATGTCAGCCAACTTCTATCACACTTGGTAGTTCTGATGCAGTGGAAAATATTTTATATTTTGAGACTCAAAGAAGTTCATTCAATTCTAGAGTGGGTTGGGTGGGAAGAGATCTTAAAGACCAGCTCATTCCAATCCCCTGCCATGGGCGGGGACACCTTCCACCAGCCCACACTGCTCCAAGCCCTGTCCATCCTGGCCTTGGACAATTCCAGGGATGGGGCAACCACAACTTCTCCGGGTAACCTGTGCCAGGGCCTCCCCACCCTCAAGCTGAAACGTTTTTGGCAATTTTGAAACCTGAGTGTGAAAAAATGCATCACTAGGGGTCTCTGCAGATCCACATCTCAGCACTGACCAATGGCAAGACACAATTTCTCTGAATTAAAAGTCACTTTGGTGAAGAAAAAGACCTGGGACATATATTGCATTGCACAAAAACATACTAACATACCATTTCTTTCAGTAAGGCAAATATCCAAGTGCCCAAGTGTAAGTAAGTGCTAAAATTCAGTGTTATTGAGTTGTTGTTCTTCTTGCACTTTATGACACAGACATTTATTTTCTTGTGGCACATGATGCCTAAAAATGTCTGCCTCATCCTAACTTTTTGAAAATTATTTGTGCTGGGGGAAGCTATGATTAGTTGGAGAGAAAAGAAACCCATGGGTTTGCTGAGAAAGAGCTGGTCACACTCAAACTCAAGTAAAGATGATTCATAAGGCTCCTTCGTGAATGGAAGGGCGGAGATGGAGATAGGAAAAGAGTTGGCTTTAAATAACAGAGAAATCCAGGCTTGTCTGCAGGGAAAACCTGTATAAATCAAGATCTATATAGAGAAGCATTGCACTGAGTTTTACTAACCCATCAGCCTCCAACCACCCCCACCCATGGCAGGGGATTGGAATGAGATGAACGTTTTAGGTCCCTTCCAACCCAAACCATTCCATGATTCTGTGGCGAAGGAATTGGAGGAGAAGAAGAAATGCTGTCCTGAAAATGCCCATTTAACCATTGACAATCTGAAACAAGAATTGAAAAATGCAGAAACTGATTCAATTTAAATGTCCCTGGCAGTGCTGGGGTTCCTGATGGGATTGGTTTTGTGGTGGTTTTTTTCTTACAAGTGGAGAACAGTGAGGACCCCTTGGTGTCAAAGGGAAGTTGGAGTTACTTTAAGCATTGAGTTGGTTAAGGGAGGATTCCACCATGAAAGACCTCTGTCTGAAAAACCCAAAAAATATTTATTAAATGAAGGGAGGGGATTAAAAAAGGCCTGATATGGACTCAAGGGAGAGGAATGAAGCCAAGTGAAGAACAACCATCAGAAATGGAAGAAGGGGAATTTCTTGGTGGACTTGCAGGACATAGAGGCTGCAACTCCTCCACAAAACAAAGCACAGCACCAAATGAGAAAGTAAGGGAGAAAATGGGGTAGAAAAACATCTGTAAGGTGATGAAGGTTCAGGGAAGGTGCATCACATGGGAAAACCCATAACTTGTCACACAAACTTGGCCAACACCAGGAGTCCTCTCTAGACTTGGTGAATAAGAAGATCTAAGCAAGAGTCTCTCCTATTTCATCATCTCCAAGCATTTTTTACAATTCCAGAATTTCTTGCATCTCTTTTCCATCTTAGAAAGCACAAATAACACCAGGCCAAGGGCCTTTTTGGATACACCAGGGAAATCCAACAGTGATGGTCCTGTGATGACATTTTGACAGCTCCAGACATTGTTTTCCCAGTTTTGTTTGACATTATTGTTGTTGTGTATCCATATTTTTTTAAGTATGCTGTCCTGTGGTAAAAAACTTTGAAAAAACCAAAAATATTTCACTTTCATGACAAACTTGGGGTATCTCCTCACAGAATGATTGTCACTCCTCCCAAACCCCAACAAAACCTATTTGCTGAGAAACCTCATTCATTGATATTAATTGTATTTTGTTATTTAGACTTTTTTTAAAAATCCTAAATTAATGGCCCATTTGCTCTTGCACCTGCCCTCAGCATGAGACAAATAGGTCAATAATGAGAGAAATCATCCCACTTGCCATTTTTTAAACACCGATCCCACGAATTTTCTGCTCTCTGGGGCACCCTCAGCCCTTAAAACTCAACTGAGGGATATAGAGTATTTCCACGCTGGTTTTTTAAGCCTTATCCATGCAAACTCAATGAGTTTAAGGTTGTTGCTTAGTTGGACAGTTAGAAAATATTTGTCATTGTATTGTCAACGGCATCTCATCCTCATCCAATGGTCAGATGAGACTGTGGCTCCTTCTGGTCCATCACTGTGAATATTTCAGCTTCTGAAAATCCCTTAGTTGTTAAGTGAACATTTCCCTTCCAGCTGGGTCTTTCCTGGGTGTGTTCCCATTTATTTAGCAACTGCTTGCAAATCCTCACTTGAATTCCTCAACTTTCAATTCTTGCCCGGAAGGGAAACATCAGCGGCTCCGGGTTTGCAGGAATCAGAGGCAGCTTGGTACCTCTCCACGGGCCTGATTATTTTCCAAAGACTTGTGTTAATTTTCTGATATGATCCCCACCTCTTTGTGAGGCACTAAATCCTCATTACTTTTCCTGACCAATGCATTCTAATTAGATCAACACTTTGAAAAAAAAAAAAAAAAAAAAAAAAAGAGGAAAGGAGAGAGGGGGGGAAAAAAAAAAAACACCACAATAGCCACAGGACGGCTTTCCATCTCATTAACTCCCTCACTTATTATTTTCATGAAAATTACTGATAAAAAAATGTGCATCTCCATTTGCTGGGACCGGGAGCTTCGTCGGCTCATATCTAACATCTCTCTCATCACCCGGGATGTGAGCTGTTGCCATGGCAATGCACAATAATAGAAACTAATAAATTACAAACGAGATGCTCGTTGAGCAATTATTGTTCTCTTTTATGCAAGTGTCTTGCTAATTTTGATCATAAGGAATGCTACCATAAAGCAGCGAAGGGATAATAAGTCCATTTCTAGAGATTATTAGAAAATAGAGTGAGGATGGGGTTTTTTAGATCAATGATTAAGTGGTTTGGTGCTTTCAGGGAACCCAAGTAAGAAATGGAACTTTTCTGGGGGGCTTTTTCCTTCATAGTGCTGGGAGCTTCAAATTCTGCAGCACCTGGAGCTGAGCTACTAAAAAAGTTTTTTTTTTTCTTTCTATCACCTTAAAATTCTCTAAAACACCCCCAAAAACCCCACCACCTGCCTCCTTTTCAGAGAGAACCCCAGGAGCTGCCTGGGTTATTTTGGGTTGGTTGCAGTTATTTCTGGTGGGATTGTACAACCCTAAACTTCATTTTTCTCCCCCCAAAAAGTGAGTGCCTGAGAGAGACGGATCCCCTAGGGACACACACAAAATAGCATCAAGTTATTTGGGATGCAACCAACCAAGATGTATTCCCTGCACTGCAGATGCACGTGAAAACTCCAACCCATGGGCAAGTTCTTTTCCAAATATTAAGTTACAGTCCCTTATTTTGCCCCCAAAGCCACCCAGTTGCAGCTTGGTTTGGCCACTTCATTTGTTATTTCTGCAGTTCTCAGAAATAGAACATTTCCTTGTACTCTTCCACTACGCTTGAGGCACCAAATGTTTTATTCTTCCAGCTAAAATCCAAATTATGCAAAAAAGAAGTGAAGGGAATGTTCATCATGCCGGGGGAGAACTGTAAGATGTGCTGAGGCCCCAAAAAAGAGCAGTGAAGCCAAAAAGGGTTATCTGAGACCCAAAAATCTGTTAGGCTGCCTTGAAACAAACAGGGAGAGAGAAGCAGTAAAGAAAATTACGATGTCTCTGCCCCTCCTGACAATAAATACTATTTTGTCACAAAAAATGTTGATTTCTTGTTGATATTCCCATACATGGCTTCCTTCCCCTCACATTTCACTGCTGCAGCATTAGAGTTTAGGAGAAGTCCTCCACTCCCCTTTCTGCAGAGCCACAACCATTGTGGACTGCAGCTCTACCAAACCCATGCTAAAAAAGGCCATACAAAAATTAAAAATAAAGAAAAAAATCATTGCAGCACTGCAATCACATTTGATATATGGGCAAGATAAAGGTTTTCCTTTTTTGTTATTGGGGATGGATTCTGAGGAGGCCACAACTGCTGTAGAGCAGTTCTGAAGCCTTGTCGACCCAACTTGCCTGTTGGCCAAGCTGCAACAGTGGAGACTAGAGATGAATTTTAAGAAATTACCTGGGGGTGGAGGCTGATGGAGGAGGGGTTGGGGGAGTAGGGCCCCCCCAGGTCATTCCTGAGTAGGTTGTCACTGTGCATCTTGGTTTTGAGGCAGGTGATGTAGCGATTGCAAAAGTCCTTGCACAACTCATTGACCTTCTCTAACTCCAGGAGGTGGATGCGCAGCACCTGGATTGCCTTCACCATCTAAGCAAGGGCACACAACAGCAAAGTTAAAATAATGCTGTCCCCTGGGGGGTGAAAGAAAAACAAACAAAAATCAGTATTCTCACCCAAAATCAGTGGAACTGATTCCTGTGGTAGAAATAAATTAATTTCCTTTCTCGACACACCAAAAAAAAAAAAATCAATATTCTCACCCAAAACCCATCCCATCCGTCTGCACATCTGCATTTCTTTTCCTTCCCTACCAATTGTACCTCTGAAATTTCAAAGAGGAAAAAAAGAAAAACAAATCACCAAATTCACCTTTGCCTTCGTGGGAATTACTCCCAGCAGCCCCCTTCCTGCCTCCCCTCCCCCCCCCAAAAAAAAAAGTCCAAACCAAAACCCTGGGTGTTGAAAAGTGTTTGGTTACTCTCCAGAGGCCACTTCTTCTAACAAGATTACAGGGCTGCAACTCAGCTGTGAGTTGTTGCTGGTGCAAAGCCTGGGCCTCATTAAAACGTACCCCATAAACCTTAAAAAATTTACACATAAAACATTCCTCTAGCCCGAGCTGAAACCTTAAGTTTTATAGCTGCTGTTTGAAATCTTGCATAATATATAAAATTTCAGCTATTCACTCCGGGGCGATAAATCCTGTTTTATGTAACAAAGCGTCTTTGCATTTCAAAGGGTGTTTTTAACTTGCAAATTTTAGTGGTCATCTTTACAAACTGCAAGTCGCCACGGTTGAGAAACATCCTGAAAAAATTCAGGGCCAAACTCCAGGGGTGGCTCCGCCACAGAGAAAGTGAATTTTTGGTTAGTGAACAACAGGGATGATGAGTTGTGGATGGAAAGATCTTTCTTTTTTTGGTTTGGGGTTTTTATTTTTACTATTTTTTTTTCTCTTTACCCCCCCTCCTCTGCAGTTGGCGCAGGCAGAGCGCAAGGTGGAGGTGCCGTGCCCCAGCTTTTCTGCATCCTCCCAGGGCTCAACGGCCATGAAAGTCAATATTCAAGGGCAAAGGCAGGAAGACCTGACACATATATGTATAAAAAATAAATCTCTCAATTATCTCAGCTCATTTGCTTAGGGTCTCATTTTATGTCCGTGCTCCGCTGCGTCGTATATCTGTCCGGATAAAGAGTTACAGTCCGACGGCGTACGTGCGCAGGGTTGTAAAAAATACAGATGCTGAATTAATTGACTGTGTGGCACTCGGCAGCTGATTGAGTTGATAATGGTGAGATCTGACCTTTTTCTAATTTCTAATTATGTGCATCTTGGCAGTGAGGAATACATGACTCTTATTCTAATGATAGCTAATGCCACTGGCCTTTTCATCCCTGCTTTGCCATCACCAATTTCCGGCCAGTCAGTGGCCTTAAAAAAAAAACCCAAACCATCTAACACTGAAAAAAATAACAAAGAGAAAAAGGACAATGTAAACAGGGAGAAAGTGTCAGCTCAAGAACAGGTGGAAATGTGTTTTGGGCACTGCAAGACTTTTTCACCCAAAATTCCCTTTGGCTAGTGCCTCCCACCAACAGGAATGGTGATTCTTCAGCAGCATATTAAAGGTCTCCTCTGTCTTGATGCAGGTGTTCCACACTGAGCGACCTGGACAGCTTTTGGAGGAGTTCTGGGTATTGGATAGAACATATACGTACAGATATGTACTAGAAATAGGGCAAACCCACACACACAGAGATACAGATATAACTACAGATATAGATATAGAAAAATACGGCTGTAGATGAATATGAATATGAACATATCAAGTGCAGCAAGGTTATACGTGGGATGAGTACAACTGCCCATGGCCAAATTTTACCTTGGCAGCAAGAGTTGCTCCAATTATGCCCAAAGAACATGATTACTATGGGGTTTTTATTTAAGAAACCACAAAAAACCCCAGTGAAAACAACCAGTGTGGACAGATTTGTTGCACTATTTGGTGAAAGTGTTTCACTGGATAGATGTAGAAATAGGTTTTCCTTCCCCAAAATTTTTAGACTTTTTTTTGCCTCACCTGGCTTCATTTCTCTCCTCCTGCTAGATGATTACACCCATTTTTACATAGTTTAATGCAGTGGGAGTTGGTTGGTGTACCACAGCATCAGATGTGTTGTTAGTCCCAAAACTGAAATAATCCAAAACTGAAATAATCCAAAACATTGGTTGGTTTGGGGCTTTTTTGATTGTTTGTCCCAGAGTCAATTGTGTTCTTGACTACAGGTTATTGCAAAATGGGTTTAAGTAATCTGCAAAAGGGGGTTGCATGGCCTGCGAATATTTTGGAGGGCACTCCACGGACTCCTGGTTTAGGGACGTCGCAAAACTCTCCTCCACAAGCTGAAATGGGGCACAAAAGGTGTGGAATTTTACTCCATCTTGAAACCACTTCTTGCTTTTTTTAGGAAAGCAGTAGTATGAGCTTTGTCATTTCTTCTTCCCTTGGTGACAGGTCATCATCCAAAATCTTGATATCTGTAACACTTAGAAAAAGCTGCCTTTGAGTTGCCTGATTTTGCTTCTCTTCCGGGATGGAAATCCCTCTTCTGCATATCCCAGGGGACACACCAACACCCAGGCAAGGTGTTTTGCTCTTTGCATCATCAGAGGTGGACAAAATTGCCCCTTAAGACCTTGACAGTTTGCTTGCAGAACATCAGGATGCTGCCATGCACCTGTCTACCCACACCTGCCATGAACACCACCCACATATGGGGTGTCTTCTGGACAAAATAATGGGATTCAGGGAGGTTTCCTGAGGTCTGCACAAGACAAAAACTCCACCCCAAGCAGAGTCTTCTGAGGCACCTTCCAGCAGCAATGTGTACAGTAGGAAACTGGGGTTGTTGTGACAGGGAAGACACCAAAACCGGTCCAGTGTGTCCCAAACCAGTGATATCTTATGAAAAAAGCTCTTTTTTTGCCCTGCTTCTAGAACAAGAGCTGGCCATCACAATTTGAACAAGGTGGTGCCAGAGAAGAATGCTGATGCTATTGCACGTTGCACGCAGAGCAGTAATTCCTACAGAGACTGCAAGTTCTGGGGCACAAACCGTCCAGTGATCTTGGCTGTTTCCAGCAACCTCGCTGACCCCATGGAGTCTGAGTGGGCAAACTAGCCAAAAATGGGCTAGGGGTTTGTTCTCACAGGGGATCCTCTGGAAAAGGTCTCAGAGAAGGTACTGGAGAAGGTCTCACAAGGTCTACGGAGAACATTGCCAAGACAAGCACCACTACAGAGCCCAAAGACATTTGTTCCTCACCCTCCACCTTATTGCCTCCCCCCAAAAAACCATCCACCAAGCCCCGGTTGACTCTACCAGGTTGTCCAGCTCGGGGTCATCACTGAAGAAGGGCTTGTGCTCCTGCTCCTGCTGGTGGACAAAGTTCTCGATGTCGACGTCAAAGCTGGCTGAGGTGATGCACTCAGAGCCCTGCGTCGCCTGCTCACACTTCTCAAAGAGCAACGTCAGCAGCGGGAACAGTGGGTGCCTGCAGAGGACAAAGGAGAACCCCCTTAAGGACCACTATTTTAGGTCACATGTCCATCTTTACCCATCATCCATCCATCCATCCATCCATCCATCCATCCATCCATCCATCCATCCTTCCCCTCCCAGCTCGTAAGAACCTGGCGGTGCAAACCTCACTACCAAGCCATGCTGGAAGTGCTACCTCTAGACCTTTTCCAACAACAGAAAAAAAAAAAAGCTTAAAAATTGCAAAATTCACCAAGCAATGACTCCTCCCAATGTCTTGGTGTTTTCCATTGCTGCACCAACGTCAGCATTTCCTACATATTTTACCATAGACAAAAAGGTGGATGTCTGGGAGCCATCTGCCGTCCTGGTGCCTTTGCATTTCAAGGATGGAAAGACATCCTGCTCTTCGATGGTAATATTTTACCTCAAATCACCTCTGTTTGTTGGAGATGATGGACGTGCCTGCAGCATCCTATGGACCAACCCTGTTTTGTGTTCCTCCTCCACCAAGAGGTCTCTGCATCTTTGTCAAGTCCACACAGGTGGGTCAAATCCCATTTCTTTCTTACCATGAGAGGACTCTTGAAAACAAATACCTGTAATTCTTCTTGAAATCCATGATTCTCTCCAGTAATGATGCTAAATCAATGCAATACAAAATGCAAACACACATACAGCACCAGAGTATGTGGAGAGTACGGGGACACAGACTGTGCGTTAATCCAAGCTCCAGTTGTGCAAATAAAAATCAAAAAGTTTCACGCAGTCCTTCAGGGCAGAAATGCAAAACGGTGCTGCAGAAATGGTCTCCAGTTATCACAGCACTCCAGTTATCCCAGCACAATGGGATCGGCTCCAGCACTTTATCTCCAAAAGTTGTCCCGAAAGATGGTTACGAATCCCTTCCCAACAGCCTTTTTGAGCCAGAGTCAGGTGAAGGGGTTAAACCCCTCAGCTAAATCTTCATTTGCAGCCGTTAATACCACAGCATATTATAGTTTAATCTGTCCTGATCCTGGTTTAATGCAAGATTCACTGAGGCTGGAGAGGAGAACGGTGAGGGGGGGGAAATCATTTCATAATTTCAGCAGCCCCGTCAGGGCTTAGCTGGGGGATATGAAAGGCAAATTCCAGGCGGCAGCTTGAATTATTGGGACTTATGAACCGGTAGCACCGCAGCAGGTGCCTGCTCCCATTTCCAGAGACACTCCATCAATTAGGAGCAAAGGCATGGAATTACCCCAAGCATGGGGGTTTGGGGAGGGGGGAAGGGGATTGCAGCCCCTGAGCAATTTGTACCCCCTTTGCTTTAAGTGGTTGCATCGATCAAGGGGGGATTAAGACCGGTATCACCCCGTGCTCTTCAGTATTAATAATGGGGACAGTGCTGCTGTGGACCCCCAGGAATGTTTTGGAGCTGGAGAGGAGGAGGAGGCAGAGGCACATGGCTGAGGGGAGAATGATTCGCTTTTCAGTTGGAACTAAACTAAACTAAAAATGTAAGACAAAATAAAGGGAAACAAAGTAGAATCCAAGCCAATCAAATCCATCAAAAAGTGAAAGTAAATGAAACAAAATAATGAACAAAACGACTAAACAAAATAACATAAAATAACATTAAACAAAATAATAAAATACAATAAGGGGAAACCAGGGGGGCAAAACCCCCAGAGATGGGCTAAGGAAGAGCACTGAGGGCACTCTGAGCACAGTGGCAAGGACCGCTGGAATCTGGGGGTTTGCCATGAGCTAAACGCTGAATTGCTGCATTTCTGTGAGGGTTTTTTCATTTTTGTATGGGAGAAACCCCAATCCCAACCACCATTTTCTCCATTTCCAGCCTTTCTGTGGCCACGCCAGGCAGAGGAAAGGACGGCCCACTATGGGGGTTTGCAGGTGGAGGTTGTGGCATAAAAATTGAGATCTGGAGTCCCTCCTTGCTATGAAATTTGCAGTGGATATCCAGGATGCACAGGTGAAACAGAAGGATTTTCCTCACCGCTGGTGTTACACAGGTGGAAAACCACCCTTATGGCATCAAGGAGAGTTTTGGAATGAAAAAATCTGCTTTTGTTGAATATAGTCTTGCAGAAAAAAAAAAACCACCTGTGTTCGTTTTTTTTTTTTTCCAGGGAATCCTCCAAATGAAAGGGCTGAACCAGCCCTGACATTTTCCTGCAGGAGAGAGGTTGTTTGCAGCCACTAATAAAAAGGATTCGACATGGGCTAATAAAGAGGAATGAGTTCCTCTAATGGCCTAATTTCCCACCTTCAGCCAGGCTCGAGCCAGTGGCACTGTGGGCACATCACAGGGGGAATTTTTTTTTTTTTTTTCACCCCCTTCCCTCTCAAAAAAGAAAAAAAAAAAAAAAAATCTTAATGCAAAGAAACCCAGCCATTTGCCACTTGGAAAAATCCAATTTGCGGTGCTCATGTGGTTTAAGCATCATTTCCCTTCAGAAGCATCATTTTTGTCAGGTCCAAAATCCATGGGGAAGTCCCAGCCCCACTGTTGCATAAAGTCAAGAAAACATTTTAGCTGAGAGAAAACTGCTCCTGAGAAGTGACGCTGCTGGACCACTCTTGGCCAAGATGCTCCCACACTAAGCAGGGAGGGGGAGGATTCTTTTTTTTTTTCCCTTTTTTCTATTTTTTTAATGGGTGATAAACCTCCTGCTAGAGCATAAAACCCAGTGGGGTGACTTGTCCATTGTTTTTTATATTTCCCATCACATTTTGCCAGCAATTTCCATCCAGGTTGATCAACAGACATTTACAGCTGATGCTTTCTGCCTTGGTGCAATTATTGAAAAGTAACAAAAATCCACTGTTTTGTGGGAAGGGAATGGACCTAGGAGGGCTGAGAAAATCCTTGTGTGCATTTGATAGCTAATGACATACACACCATCCATATTAACCACTGGATAGGGGAATACTCATCAAAAAAAGGCTCATTTTAGGGATAAAAATTTATCTGGGGGGTCATTTGGCTGGCAGCCAAAAATAAGCATTCAGGTTTGGGCAATGAGTACGTACATTGGACTAGGCAACAAATTTTCCCCCTCTTTTCTAGGTGGGAAATACCTCCCACAAGGTATTTTTTTGCATGTTTTTGACACTCAAATTTAGGCTGTGAAAACTCCAAAGGTGTTTTGTTTTTTTTGTTTTCCTTATCCCATGAAAGCTTCAGCAAAATTCCTCCAGGAAGGGCAAAGAGAAGGTGGTTTTGTCCTCCAATGGCTTCTTTTGCTTTGAGAAAATGATTTTCAACACTGGGAGATCCATGGTGAATAATCCTTTGCATTTTCCTGGGAAAGAGTGAGTTTATTCCACACTTTCATCTGCCTTTTCAGACCTTTCAGCCTCGTAATATTTGAATACTTGGAGAACAAATATTTTTATTTCTTCAAGCTGCAGTTTTTTTGTTCACAACCCATCACAGTCCTTGCCATTGACAGGGGGGTTAATCCTTAACCTTAAACCTTAATCCTAATTATATTAAAATATTGTTACGGTTGCACCATGACTGTATGTTCTAATACTGTAAATAATCACATGTCGCTTACATAATTATATATTACTTATATAATTACACTATTTACATAATTAGAATATTACTTGCAGCAATTAAATGATAACATTACTGCATATATTACAATATTATATATTATTATCTCCAAAATGACATGAAAAGGGGATTGAAGGAGTCATCCACCCCTTGCCCATCCTGTATGGATGTACAAACTGCACATTTCAGGTTAATATGTGACTTTACTACTTATTCAATCCCAAATCAGACGGGGTTTTTTGTGGGTGAATATTTTGGAGGTGGTGGGTAGATGCTGCAAAACGAAGTATGTGAAGGAGCTCCATCACCACGACTTATGATCAATAGTTATTATTGCTAAAAAGGAGCTCATTGCTAATTCCCCCCTTTCTGTGTGCTAATTAATGCATTAGAAGAACGGATTAATACAGCATGATAACAACGAATGCATCAAAGGATCGATGCAGCGACCCACACATTAATTAATGCATCGCTGAATCGGTGCAACAACCATGCGTTACAACGGCGAGCCATTAATCAGACTGCATTAATTAGTGCATTAATTAATGAATGCACGCTGCAATTAGCTTGCATCACCTGTAGACAGCCCTCTTGTCGGCCTCCAGCTGCGCCTGGGGGTCGCCGCCCGTGGCTGGCACCGGTGTGTTGGCAGCCGCCGCTGGCGTGGCGAGGTGCACAGGCTGTGCCTTGGTGGGCTGCTGGGCTGTGGCTGTCATCTGGGAAGGGGAGGGAATAAAAACAAAAAGAGAAGAAAATGAAGCAAAGATAGCGTTTGTTGCACTTTTCTGCTGAGTTTTGCAACTCTCCCCAAGTGGAATTTTGGAAACTCGGGAGGAAGGCAGCACCACGATGGGGTTCTGAGCAGGACGGTGGTGGGGAAGGTAAAATATGGATAGATTTGCATTTCATCCTAGCCTGGAAAGAGCAGGTTTAGGGTTTTTACCACATTTTTTTTTCTCACTTTTCACTTGGGCAAAACACAGGGAAAAACTGCCGCCATCCTTCCTGCGCGGGGTAATTTCGGTAGGGATGCTTCCCACAAGTCCCAGATTAAATCAGCTGCAGTGCTGCAGCTTGCCAGGACTTTTTTCAAAGCAGGTATTACTGTCTAGACACATTCATTTTCCACTTTATCCCAAAATTAGGCAAACTGCTTCCAACTCACCAAGCCCAGCAATGAGTCATCTTGGCGCTGCGAGAAGACAGCCAAAAAAAAATCAACCTTTTTTTTTTTTTGGTACCTGCACCCAAATCACCCATTTTTAGCCCCGACGCTGCCCAGGCTTGCTGACATCACAGGAATCTGCCATGTAATCATCCTGACAACAAACCTTGTGCTTATTTTAAAATCTGCAATTATTTTGGGTCTTTAAGATGTGAGAGCTCCTGCAAATCCCCACACGTGCTTCCAGTGTCACCCCAAAACTGCTATCCTCTGGTACAGAATAACACCTACTTGGGGGAAATTTTCCCTGAAAACTAACAATATCATTAAAAAAACCCTGAATGATCTGCTGCCAGGCTTCAGACAGGCCCAAGCTTCACATTAAAGTCACGAGATCCCATTAAAAAAAATATCCAGGGGGAATATGAAGCAACAGGGATTCAAATACATCAGCAGTGCCCCAAATCCAGTGGTTTTAACCAAAAAACTCAGCAGAAAACAAATGCAAAGTGGTTGTTTTACCTGGTTTGCTGTCAAAATTTGTAAAAAATAAGTATTTGCTTATTTTCTCCAGTAAAAGTTCAATCCTCCCTGGAGATGGGGAGCAAACGGAAGCTCTGGCTCTTGCTCGATATTAGATTTATCATTTATTTACTATCTGATAGACTTATATGTACTTATTTCTCTGTTTATATGTAATTATATATTATCTATATTTGTATAATGTTTCTTCATTTCTGTGTAGATTTCCATATAAATAATACATATTATTTGTCTGATACACTAACATATTTATTTCTGTGTTTATTTATATAGAAATGTGCCTATAGGTATTATTTATATATGCCTCTAGATTTATTTGTGATCATTAATATATCAAAATGCTCATATGCATAAATCATTGTGTAATTCATTATTACTTATATATATAAAGCTTTGTAAACCTAAGCTGGACCAAAACCACGACACCTTTTGCTTTTAAAATATTTACCTTTAATATCTCCTGCCTGACCTTTTGCTGTCTCTTTTTTTCTCACTTTTCTTTTTTTTCCCAACCCCCTTTATTGTTCATAACTCCAAAGTTTGACTCCAGCACCTGCAAATTCTCCCTGCACTATTTAATTTCCAACTCTCCCAACTGAGCACCTGTTTTGATTTCTGGCCTTCTTCCCTTCCCTGGTGCTAAAGAAATGAGTGAAATTTGGGCTTCGCTTCACCTTCCAATCCCAGCAGTTTGGATTTTCCTTCCCCCCACCGCCTCATTTTCCACCTAAAAACAAAATGCCAGCAGATTTTGGGATGCTCCAGCCACTGAATATCTTCCCAACCTCCTCCTCTTTTCGCCCTTTTTTTTCCCTATGATCTCTTTTGAAAATTACAGTTCCGTGGGGGAAAAAACATGGCTTTTCCTCCAATCTTTTCCCTTTTTTTTTCTCCCCCCATCACACTCATTTACCAGGATTCCAAACCCCTTTTTGCATCCTGCCCCAAAACCTTGCCAAGTTGAATATTTCCAGCCGAGTCTGCAACTAATTGAGCTCTTACCCTAAAAAAAAACCTCCTCTGGGGTTTTTACCTCAAAGCCATTACCTCACCTTGGACTAAAGAAAAGAATAAAGAAATAAGGAAAAATCAAAAATAATTCCAAGTCCATGGAAAAAGAGGTGAGATGATGCTGGGATGGAGGGATTTGCAGGTGGATAGGGAGGAAGGCAAAAATTGAGCCAAAAATGGCTTTAGGGGGAGCAGTTGGGGATGGGAAAGGAGGGAAAAGGCAGCAGGTTCCAGGCAGTGGGAAAATGGGGAAATAAGGGGAGATATTTGGGTAAAAAAGTTGTAGGCATTGAAAAAAATGCAGGTTTTGGGGTGGTTTTTTCCCCTGGAAAATGTCCAAAAAGAGTTGCAGCGAGGGAAAAAGGTAAATAAAAAAAGAGAAAAAAAACAGTACAAAATACATGGTTAAAAATGTAGAAAAAAGAGTAAAAGAAAGATAAAAAATAACATATATAATCAAAATGATTATGTAAACTGTTAAAAATACATTAAAATATGTTTAAATGTTAAAATATGTTAAAAATATGTAAAAATATATAAAAATGTAAAAATGTGTTCAAAATACGTTTATAAACACGTTGGTAGAAATAAAGTTTTAAAATGTAAAAAATCCATTCAAAGATATAAAAATGAAAACATGTTTAAAAATTATGATAAAAATGTATTTAGAATATGGGGAAATGCAAACAATACATTTACAAATACATAAAAACCTCAAATGTTTTAAAATGTAGAAAGCACAATAAAAGATGTTAAAACACTACAGAACTTCTAAAATTACATTAAAAATGTTCATTAAAATATGTTTAAAATGTAGAACATGTAAAAAGGTAAAAATTTTTTAAAGATTAGGAAAAAATCAGAAAAAAATTAAAATGAGATTTAGAAAATAGGAAATAAGTAGTAAAGAAACACATTTTTAAAATCCCTGTGTTTTTGCAAGGCTCCTGGGTAAAGCTGGTATTTTTGAGGTGCTGCTCAAGCTGGGAACGATATTTTTGGGTTTGAATATCACATTTCTGAGGTTGGGGATTACATTTTGGGGGTTCAGGTATAGTATTTCTGGGGTTTTGCTTCTCTTGGAAAGAAATCCTCTGCCAGAGTTAGTTCTGGGAGGACTTCCTGCAGGTTTAAATGCCGTAATCCCTCTTCTTTAGGCTCTTTTTTTTGTGAAGAGCATGTCCAAAGACATCAAGTTCAGGGAGCAAGTCCCCTAAATCAGCAATATTTACCCTATTTCTTAGCATTTCGCTGGGAAATCCCTCCATCGCCGTCACACATGCTGGAAACAGCAGTTCTGAGCCCAAAAACCTGCTGAGGACACCAGCAACTGCAGGGGTTTTGTGGCTCGTACTGGAAAAATCTTCATCTTCCTTCCCCCCCCGTTTTTACCCCGGGGCTTTTTCAAAACTATTTTTATGATTCAAAAAAGTAGAACGATGTTCACAATTTTCTGTTTTTGTCGCAGTTATGACCACCTAAAAAGCACTTGGGGGGTCGAAAGCAAAGCTGCTTTTATCACTTTCTGGGCTGAAAATTATGAAAAATCAACTTCTCCATCCAATTTTTATTTATTTTTTTTAAATACATATATTTATTTATTTGTTTGCTTGTCATTTTTGTCCCTAGCCACCTTTGTGGAGGGGAGGGGGAGAAGATGCTTATTACCCCTTTCTGTGCTGAAATTTATGAAACCTTTTTTCTTAAATATATTTTTTTAATACTTAAAAAAAATAAGTAAGTTCCTCTCCGCCACCCTTTTTGTCCCTGTTGTAACCACCTAATAAGCATTTCTTTGATAGGGCAAAGCTTCTTTCATCACTTTCAGTGATGAAAATACCTATTTTTAAAACAACCGCTTTTTGTTACCTTTGTTAATGGCTGAAGACCCTTCTTTAGCTTTTTAGTTTTAATTTATTATGGAAAACACACGGATTTTTATGCAGACTCCTTACTTTTCAATAGGTAGAGTGCTCAAGGAGCGTGTCTGTGGTCTATAAAAGATGTTCCATGTTACACCCCTTTATTTAATAGATTCAGGTGGTTAATAAACCACATTTTTTTCCTCCAAAAGGCCGCTTTTCCCCTAATTTCTACTCCATTTCTGCACATTTCTGACAGTGAGGGTAACAGCTTTTTACAGTTTCTGCTGTAAAATATGAATGCAAAGCTCCCCAAATCCCATTTTTTAGCACTCCTCTCACTGTTTCCCTTGATGAGGAGCTCATCGTAGCTGTAATAATTGATAATTTTTTTTATTTATCATCAGTCGAGGGAGAAGAAACTCGTGTAATTTGCTTTTCCAACTCCTAGAAATCCCAAATTTTTTAGGTGACAAGTTCACAGCAGCCACAGATGAGTCAAGGGAATCAACTCTCGGCCGCAGCTTTTCCTCCAAAGCCACTTAAAAAAAAGAAGGATTTGGTCAACGATGCTCCTGAGGGTCCCCGAAATTCAATGTATTAAAACAGGGCAGCTGAGGGGTAGGGAGGGAGAAGGTGGACGGGGATATCACTGTAGGATGCTCTGGAAAATGTTGGCTATTTTAAAAATCCCTTAAATTGCCCATTAGGACTAAAACGGCGCCGCAGCTCCCGCTGTGTAAGCGAGAAAGGGAAAAAAAAAAAATGGGAAAAAAAAAAAAAAGCCCTCCTTGGAGCAAAGCAGCGAAGCGAGTAAATGATGACACAGAAGTTGGAGGAGCCATAAAAACCCCACCGAGGTGTCGTTTGTGAGAAGTGACCTTTTCCCACCGAAGGAAACGAGCAGGAAGGAGACCCGGGTGGCTTCAGGGGGGATTGTAAAAGTCGATTTATTTATTTTAGCTTGCAGAGAACAAGCTCGAGGTTTGGGGAAGCGGGGGGGAGGGTGTTGTTGTTGTTGTTTTGTTTATTTTCCTGGGAGGGGAGATTTTTCTGCTTTTGCAACTGGAAGAAGCAGCAAATGGGAAGAAACTCAAAATCTTCTGTATGAACAACAAGAAAAAAAAAGCTACTTTGAAAACAGAGCTGGCTCAGTGCTCAGTGGGTCATCCCTGTTAGGTCACTATAACTGGGAAAGCAGAAATATGACATAAATTTGCCCCTAAAGAATCCTAGGATGGGCTGCAAGGCACAGGATCATCTCCAAAATCCAAACTCGACCTCCCAAGTCCAGCCCACTGGGGTGCTCCAGTAGAGTTTCTCTTGGACAAACTCCTCTTCTTATAATAACTCCACAAATGATGCTTGTAAAAGTTATTCGACCCCTTAGAGCACCATTGGAAGTGAAATCTTTTTTCTCCCCTGCCACAAGTTATTAAAAAATGCCATTGAAATAAATCAAAGGGCCATTTCTATAGCTAAACCCATCCTGGTTTAGTCAAACATTTAGTCTCTCGAGATGATAAACCTGTTGGTTGCAAACATGCCACCATGTCAGCTTTCTAAGAAGACCCAATGACCCCAAAATAAGACTGAAAGGGGAAAAAACACAGTTTGACCCAAAACCCATCAATCTCTGAGACTGTGTTAAGAGGGGGTTTAATTTTGCCAGTCTCTGACATGAACGTTCTAGGGTGAAATATTTTGTAATGGCCATTATTTAGGAAGGCAGGGTAATTAGTGCAGGAGCTGGGGGTCCCCAGGGGTCTGTAGGAGCCCGTGGGTGCTGGAGGACACTCACCTGTGGGGTGTCTTGATAGGGAGAAGGAGGCACTGTCTGGGTGGCCATCATAGTCAAAGCCGGTGCTGGGGAGACATGGTGCATCCTGGGTGGGACTCACATCGAGAACCTGCGGGCAGGAGAGGAGCTGCTGCCTTAAGAGGGATCTTCCAACCCCCACACACACAAAAAAAATCATATAAAGGTGGGAAAAAAAGACAGCAAGGAGAGGTGACGTTCCTCGCACGAGCACCCCAGCACAGCGCTCCACCACACGGTCCCTGGGAGAAACCCCCGGTCACCTGATGACCAGGTCACTGGCAGGGAGATCTCCGCTGGACAGTAGTCAGGCAAAGGAGGAGATGATGGCTGCCACTGGTGAATCTCATTATATTTCCCCCCTGTGAGCCCTGGTTCACCCAGGGTATCTTCTTTCCACCCTTCATGCCTAACTACAGTGCTCAAATAGGGATTTCCATCCCCTTTGCAGTTATTCCTGCTTTCTGGAAGTAGGAAGACGAACCATAAACGCAAAACTTGCCATTTTCTGAAATTAGACACTGAATCCCCCCAAGATTACGTGTCTCGCCACCACTGCCTGCTCACTCCAGAAGGGACATTGAGTACCTGATGTGGAGTTGATTCCCGTGTTGTGCTGTCCAGCCCAGTTGACTCCTGTGTTGAGGTGACAAACCCCAGGGAGATTTGAACGCACAGAAATGTGGAAACTCTTGCCTGATCTGAACCAGGAAGTAAACCTGGATTTCGATCCCATAAACCAAGGAGGTAATCCTCATGCTGCCATCAACCTCTCTGGGAGTTGCTGCTTTCTAAGAATGTGGAGTTATCTTGGGGGAAAACAGGCTATTTTATTTGTATCTTCATGTCCAAAGGAGATGGGGAAAAAAAGAGGGGCACCGGGAAGGGACAAATTTGTAGAGGAACACTGGCCTGGGAGAAGTCCCCAAGGATAAGCCTGGTGGCAGATGTGACCCAAAAGCAACTCTTGGCCCCAAAATACCTCCTCTCCCATTATTTCACTGCAGCTGTGTGGTTGCTTTAGCAGAAAAGTCAATAATTTTGCTTAAATCCTTAAAAAAAATACCCTGTCTTGTCCCCTCTGCAACTCTGAGCTCTTTTTTGGGTCAACTCACAAAACCACCCAGCAAAATCTTCCCAGATGCTCCAAAAGTACATTTCTTTCTGCAATGCCTCATTTTGGTAAGAGATGACACATCTCAAGGGGTTCACCTCTTCATGGTGCCCATCAGTGCTTCACCACTGGCTTCTCATCTGGAGAAGAGCCACAGTGCCATCCCATGAAGAAATGCAAAAAGATGGGCAAAGACCTCTGATACTGTGAGGGGATATAACCAAAAAATAAAGTGTCAGTGAAATGATGATGTTTGGAAAAGTGCAAGGCAGAAGGACAGGGACAGTGATGAGCTCAGCCAAAACTGATGCACATTCCGTAATCTTCATGAAAGATTCACAATAATCTGGTCTTCTCCATGAGGTCCATGTGTTTTGGGGGGAAGAGTCACAATATTCTGGTCTTCTCCTTGAGGCTTCAAGCCTTACAAGAACCACCAGGCACCAGGTTCACAGATGCATCATATCCACACAGAAAGCCAAGTGCTGTATGCATGGGATGAGTATCAACCACTCATATTTATTTTGCATGAATAAATGAGGTTATTCTTTTTTTTACTTTGCACAATATGGATAACCCAAAAATTGAGAGATCACACCCAAAGTCCTGTGCACCATGAAGGTAGATCAGGGTTCTTGCATGACAAAGATCTTTGCAGCAAGAAGGATCCTGCATTTATGGGATTAAAATGTTGCTTTTCATCTTTTTTCCCCCAACAGCAAAATAGCAGGAGGTAAAATCATCTGCTTATGAGTGAACTCGCTGCTTAAATCATTGGTGTCCAATGTCAAAACTCGCTCACAGCTGCAGGCATGTGAATATCTGCATCCCTGGGCGGGGGGTAACACCAAGGGGAAAACCTTCCCACCAGAAATAGCTGCAGCTGGGGAAAAGCAGAACTTAGCATTGTGATAGTCTGGCCATCTGGGTGGGAAGCTAAAAAAAAAGAAAAAAAAAAGACATTGCTATTTTGGGAAAAACGCCCTGCTTGGTATCTATTGCTCCTGCCAGGAGTGAGCCCACAACCAGCACGAGGCGATTCATGGTGGGGTGTGAGTTTTTGGGTGAGCAGATTCCCAGAAGGTGGCAGTCCGGAGCCCAATTTAATTGCTGAAAAACATCCAAGCTGCTGAAATCAGGCCGTTCATTGAGGTTTATGGGTGTTGCTCTGGTTGGAGAATAGGAATCGCAGCCAAACGTGAAAAATAAAAATAGGATGAAAGTGAGAGACAGCTGTTGCCAACAGCAGTATATTTATCTTGGGGGTGGGAGGGGGGGAGTGGGAAATGCACTTGGGCTCCCTAAATATCCAGGGAAGCAACTGATGCCTGAGGGAAAAGCCAGACAGGTGTTTCACCTGGGAGCCCCTGGCCAGGAATCTCAGGATAACAGTGCAAAGCTGTCAGATTTATCAGCAACCAACACAAAGGAGGGTCAAAAGCTGCTACCTTATGCATTAATTTCTTATTTTTATAATTTTTATTTTTTACATTAATCCCCTCTTTTTTTTCTTTTTTTTTTCCCCCGCTTCCACCTCTTAAATCAATTTAGCTGACCACAGGCACTCTGATGTTGAAAGGAGCAGAGTATCACCAAACCCCCGCCAAATCCTTCCCGCTCAGCTCATGGTAATCCTCAAATCTTGGGTGAAGAGGGAATTCTGGGGGTCTGGGGATCGAGGAGGGCAGGAATTGCAGCCAATTCTTGGGGCATTTGCACAGAGGAACGGAAAGGTGAGCAATAAAACCCATAAAGGCTCTTTCATTTCCGGACCCGGCAGTACTTTACATTTTGGCAATGACTTGTAGATCAAAGCATCCTAAATTTCCTTATGAAATAAAATTATTTCAGCTATCACTGAAATGTTGCCATTATGCTGGAAATGTATTTCCCCAAGAGCTTGTGCCTACCTAAAAGAGTTTCAGATTTATAGGCTGATTTTTTTTTCCCCAACAATATATTACATCCTTTTTTGAGTAAAAATAATTAAAGACTAAGTTAGAAGTCTGGGGTTTTTTGCATGTGGTCACTGATGCCTTAAAACATTTTAAAAATCAAAGTATTGTCAGTCACCCACCACCCCCCAGGTGAATACGATCTCCTTGAATAATAAAACAGCCATAAAACCATATTAGAAGTAGGCCTGAATGCAAAAAAAATTTTAAAATCTCATTTATGGACTCCTCATCACCGTTTCCAAAGAAAAATGTTAATATTCGATTTGCAAAGCACAAGTCTTGTTTCCAAGCCAATTGGAAAATGGGGATAATTTTTTCTAGCTCATTCAGCAGTTTCTACCCTGCAGCAACACGTGCAATTGATAGCAGAGGGTTCACTGTGAGAAATCAGAAAAACAACTTTTCAGGCTTTTCTTCTCTACCTGAAGCTTCAATATTATTAGAGATACTTGAGGATGGGGTTTTCCAGCCATGGAAGGCATTTTTCTGTATTAAGGGAAGACTACCTTTTCCAAAGGGGATATTTTTGAAGAGGGGCTGCTGTGGGATTTGCAATGATGTCGTGTCAGTCACACTCCCTCCACAGTTTTTTATGTCACCATCTTCACAGAGGGCCTGAGCAGGCTGAAGTTTATGATTTATGCATTCAGCTGAGTTAAAATGAAGAAATACAGCAGAGTAGGGAGGGTCCTCTAGAGGATGATACATCTTGCTCAGAGCAGCCAGGACAGGTTCACTCTCAACGGGTGATGCCAACTCTTGATTGGCCATAAAGTAAATTAAGAGCTACCCTCTCGCTCTTGAACATCTTATTTCTATCCACCAATCTTCACCCTTTTTGCTTGTTTTTACCAAAATACCCTGAAAGATGAACATGGTTTTCACAAGCTGTTTGAGGAAGTCCCTTATACCACCCTGAGCTCATTAAAAATAAACCACTATTAACTAGTGGTTAAGATAAAAATAATCTACTATTAAATGGTTAAAACTGGGGAAGAATCCAATTTTTCATAGACAGAACCCATTCTTGACCATTGTCTGACACAAAAAAACTCTTGCCGAGCACCAGTTTGGAATGACCCTGGATGGCCCCTGGGCACAGAGGAAGGGAGCATTTATTTACTTAACATTTTCACCTAGGTATTTAATTTTTTAAATTTATTTATTTATTTCATATTTGCAGGTATTTATTTGCTCTTTGCACTTATACATTTAATATTTCCCAATCCTCCTCCCAACTCCAGCTCCATAGAAAGGAGGGAGCTGCTACAGTGAATTTCTGATAAGAACAACAATTACTGCTAAATAGTTCTCTCCTCTCTAAAGATACCCATCCCTAAAAGGCTCCAGGGATATCTCTGCAACATAAACATAAGAATAAAACCTGCAAGAGCCAGTCAGAGCTTTAGTAGACAAGGTTAATGTACCTTGAACAGCAGCATTAAACAACTTCCCTCTTTTTTTAAGTGGAGAGTTGAGATACCTACATACATTTTAAAGTGTTATTTTTATAGGGAAAGACTATTAAAGCACCTTCCAAAACAAACTGGCACAGGGAAACATCAAAGAATCTTCTTCAAAGTAACCTGAAAATACTTGCATTTTGTGCAACCCAGCCCTTGGCCCAAAAAAAGTTCCCAAAAGAGCAAATTGTGAATTTTTTCATAGGGCAAATCAAAAAGCTTTGAAGTGAAGCGTAGCTGAAGAACCCCAAAAATGCAGAAACTTCCTCTTGCTGGACACAAATTATCCAAAAAAAATTCTCTGTTTGCCTTGAAGAAGTCAAACAGAGAATTTTGCTTGTAAAAAATGAGCAGGTGAATTTTCCAACAGCTCTTCTCTGTGAACAATTACCTGGGAATAATTTATGTCCCAAATCTTGCCCTATGCTTTCAACCTTGGTTTGTGCTCTTTGTTTTTCACCACAACCCACTAATTCCATGAGTAAGGAATAACTGAGCACCCCCATTTCCATCAGGCAAGCACCAAATCTAAATCCCACCCTGGTTCTGCCATGGGAAGGAGGATGGAGCTGTGGGGTCCTGACCAGAGGGAGCAGTGTGGGTGGCATGGCTGCAGTGGATTCAAGCTCCACACTCTCTTTTGTACACTTTTGTGACTAATATTGTTGCTGCTACTGTTCATTTTCTTATCTCATCACTGTTTCCAGTAAACTGTTCTTATCCCAGCCTGTGATCTTTGTCTTTTGTGCCTCCAGTTCTCCCCTCCAGCTGCCCAAGGGTGGAAAGGGAGGGAGGAGAAGCGAGTGAGCAGCATGAGGTTCCAGACTATTGCTGTGGGGAGGGAAAGCACTAAATTGGGGAATACCATTCCTAAACCACAACAGCCAATTTCTCCACCAGCTCAAGTGCCAATCAGACCAACAGCAGTGGAGGACCCACCCACAACCTCAACATAGACATGCATCCTCAATTCTAGCAAAGATGACACAACAAACCATGCAAGGACCTTCTGTAACTTGCTGCAGCCCGCAAACACCCCGTGATCAGTACTGCCATTTGTAATGGTTTTAAATGCAGCTTTAATATTGATGCCCTTCTGGGGTGTTTATTTTGAAAATCAAAGCTGAGGGGCTTCAATGCAAATCTCCCAACACCTGCATGAGTAGCAGCAGGTAAACACAGATAGGAACCTGCTTTTTGATGGACTTGCAGGAACTGGGCTAAAAGCAGCAGAGCCAACCCAACTGCAGAAACACAGGTGGGAGTGTGCAAAGATTTCCCCACCCCATGGGAAAGCCTCAAAACCAGCAATGCCAGAGCACACCTAATAAAATCCACTCCTCCCTTAAATCTGCCTCATTTCTTGCTATATCCTGCTATCATGCTTGGAAATTTTCACTTTGGGAGAGGGAAAGAAATCCCTCTGGAGCCGGCTGTTTTCCTCTTTCCCATATGGCAGATAAATCAGAGCTCCTGACTCGCTGAGTTTCCGCTTCACATCCCTTTCTTTAAGTTCTCTGTCTCCTCCCGGTCTCCTTCCTCCTTGAATTTCCTTTTAAAATGTAAAATTCCCTAACAGAAATGGCTCCACCAACCAGAAGACAAAAAATATAGGTTTTATAGAGGTGTGCCAGGTTTTCTGGTATCTGTAGATAGTTGTCCCCAAGCCAAGACACTAAGGGACTAAGACAAGACTATGGGAGACCCTGGATTAATCGCCTCAATTGAAACATCTTTCATTTGCCCATTTGAAAGCAATTTTTTTGCCATATTTCTAGCCTTGATGACAAAAGAGAAGTTTGAGATGTGACATGGTGATTTATACAAGCTCCAGCCAGCTAGGGAGTTACAAGGGGTTTCAAACTCCTTTAATGATGCTTAATAACACTGTCTTCTCCATTTACTCAGAACTGGAGTAAACGTCAGCCTGGTCTGAACTCAACACAGTCAGGAAATTGAGGTCAAAAAAGGCCTGAAAAGTGTTCATGATGTAAGACAGACGTGCCAAGTTTCTTCACAACACAGTGACAAAAGATATGGCCTGGCCTCTGAGGTGCATCTCCCTGGTCACGTGGGCTTCAGGAGGAGGAAAGCTGAGATAGTTTTGTGCCTGGAAACGGGGTCGACCAACACACAAGGTGGAGAAATCCAAGGGGAACCAAGCTGTTTCTCAGAAGAAGTCATCAGGATAGGTGATTTCTATCATTAACCACTTAGAGCAATGCCAGCCTTGTGCTCCAGAAGGTAATTAAGTGAGCATCCACCATCACATCTTTCTGTACCTTCAGTGGGAGGTGCCTAGACCTTGTTGGCACAATTTGCTGAGCTGTTTTCGGTTTGGTCTTCTTGCTGGAGATACTTCCAGGCCAGGTTACATTTGTGTCCTCCACAGTCACATGCTCATGTTCTCCAAAGGCTCAGCTTCCATCAAAGAGAACAATCCAACATGCCCAAAATAAAGGGCAGGGTATGAAGTCCTTCCATGCAAGCAGCTCTCATTGAAATACAGATTGGCAAGAAGGCATCAAGGCAGGGAGGATCCCCCAAAAAAAGTGGTCGCTGTGGTGACCCCAACCCCCACAAACTCACCAGAAAAGTAATTTCAAAGTGAAACCAACCTTAGAATCAGAATGGGGGGTGAAATCAGACTAAGGAAAAATTCTTCTCTTCCTTCCTCAGGTAGGGGTTTTTGGCCAAGGGAAGGTCAGTGGCAAGAATCAGGGCTAAAAGGGCAGCCTGGGGAAAATAATCCTGCCCTTATTGGCTACTTTTTCTTAAAATGGGCTTTCAAAGAAGACAAGACTCAAAAGAAAATACTCAAAGAAAAGATGCTCTGCTGCACCATGGACTGACTGAAGGCTTTGGGCTTTCCCCTGAGGAACCCCCATCCTAAATATCACCAGTTTAAGCAGAAACCAGGCAATTTTGCAGGGTATTTGCAGGAATTGAAGGTGGTACCTCCGTTTTCAGTGACCGAAGATTTCTCTTTGCTCCTATAGGAGGAAATTTGCAGCCAACTGGGGTTTATTTTCTTTGTCACCTGCCGGGCACCTCCAGTTTTGGCAGAGTGGCATATGTCACTAATTTTAGTGATCGGGGTTGACCAAAGGACTGTGAGACTCTTGGTTTCATATATATCTTATTTTAAGCTCTGCATTTCAGTTATTTTTAGCTGGTGACCATTCCTCCGCATTCTACTGTTGGCTGTGCCAAAATTTTGCAGTAATAGCAGCCCATATTTCAGAGTATTTTCACAAAAATATATCTGTGTTTTCCTCCAGGCTGGCTATGGCTTGTAGGGCTCTTCACAACATGCTATTGACACTTGAGCTTTACATCAAGACTCCCTGCACAGACTGATTTCTTTAAAAAAATAGTACAAAAGTGTAATTCCCTCCTCACTGCACTTAGGGAAGGGTTGATACAATTTAAGTGTACCAGAAAACAACAGAAATTCCCTCAAATAAAGCCACATGAGGTCATGACTCAACACAACCCACTCAATTAGTATATATAATTCATCCACAATTAATATGTATAATTGCTTAATTAATATAAAGAGAAGAAGCCTTACTGTTTGTGGGGTGCTCGGGTAGCCACTGCCCTGGAATTGTCCTCCCACCTCCCTGAAAACTAGATTTTCTGGGTAGGAATCACAACCTGGGAAAGCAAAGGATGAAATATTTGAATATTGTGAAAAAATGATTAAACAAGAGGGCAAAATATTAAGCAGCGGATGAAGGTCTGTACTAGGAGAGGGTTTTTGGCAGTGGCAGCAAAGCCCTCCTAAAGCAAGCCCACTCCTAAAGCATTTTTGTTGAAGGATGAGGGGGAAAACATGAGGAATCAAAGAAAACTTATGTGGGAATATGAAGGCAGGACTGATGTCTAAGCTAGAACAGGGTTTTGCCCCAGTGGGTTTGAACATCTCCAAGAAAGGACAAAAACTAAATGAGATTTTTAGAGGTCGAACTGAGACGTGTCCAGGAAACGACGGTGTGCTCACTGATGGTCTACCCACAACGGATGGAGGTCGGCACAGTCCTGGCCCGTCCTTTTCCACTCCTGGGGGATGGTGACTCCTCTGTGCAAGATCTCACTGAGCGTTACTGCTACAACCCGGGTCTGAGAAGGAGAAAAAAAGGAAAAAAGCAATGAAACAACATTGCTGTTGGCCTTGCCCCCATTTCACACTGGCTGTTGCCATTTCCCTGTTAAATTAAAACCTTTGCTTGAGTGTAAAAGTGGTTTTATACTTAGGCTCAGACAGAGTGAACTGGGGGAGAGCCATTAACTTAAAAATGGGGGAGCTCCCATCCACTATTTAATAAGGAAAAGTCCACAGAGATGTTAGAGATGATGTTGCAACTACCAAGAATCTGGTCTTTATGAGGTGGGGATTTCTAGACCAATGTCAGCAGTTTCAGTGGAATAACAAAGATGGACTGAGCAAGGATCAGCATAGCCACTGACACAGGGGTGGTTTGTGTCTGACGGCACAAAAAAAGCAGTAAGAGAGAAAATTCACCGGCTCTCTCAATATACATCACCCCTAGCAAGACCCTCAGATCTCCAATACCCATCTAATAAATGTCCCTCAACGTACATCACCTGCAGATATTACCTCTATGTCAGGTGATAAACATCACCTGAGATCTCCCTGATATACATCACCTGGTAGAGAGCTCCTCAGATCTCCAATATATGTCTGATATATGTCCCTTGATACACATAATCTCTGCCAAGTTCCTCTGATCTTCAGACTACAGCTGATATATCTACCCTGATACAAACCATCTCGAGACAGCTCCTTGCCAGTACAGCTCCTCACCTCCTCCTCTGACAGACACATCTCTGATATATGTCAGCTGGCTAGAGCTCTTCAAATCTCCATTATGCATCTGATACATCTGGCATGGCACACATCCCCTCCAGAGAGCTCCTCAGATCTTCAATATGCATCTGATATACCTACTCTGAAATATATAACCCATTACAGAGCTTCTCAGACTTTTGATATATGTCTAATATATATAGGTATGTACCTCTTGCGCTGAACTGCTGATTTGAATGTGTGTCTGATACATCCACCTCTGGTTACACGCCACCTCTAGAGAGCTCCTCAGATGCTCCTTCAACTCACTACCAACATGCACAGCACCTCCAGAGAGCTCTCTGGATCCCCAGGATACACCTCAGGGATGCATCTCTGATACGTTACCAGCAGAGAGCTATATCTTGTGTGGTGAGACGAGGTGGGAGATCCATGAGAACTGTTTACCCCAGTTTTAATTCCATCCCAAACCCCTTTTGGGGGGTTTTTGTACCCTCACAGCCCATGTCCATCCACTAAGATGGGAACACGGGTCCAAGAGACGCACCTTGCATAGGAGTGCCATTCCTGGAAACCTGGACATCAACAGGGTCATTGCCCAAGGAGAGATATGGAAACAACTGTGTGATTTCAGGGCAAAAGAGAGCAGAAACCCCCAAACACAGAAAACTCAGTGAAAGGGAAAAAAGGTCAAGGTGCCTCTTGATTTCTCCAGCCACTGTAGGTCCCGCCAAGAGATTTAGCGACCTCATCTGGGTTACACTCAATGCTCAGAAGGGCCTGAGTCCAAAACTCTTCCACCCAAACAGCAGGTGAAATATTAAGGTTATTTATGGTAAAGAATCAAGGTTCATGCCCTGAAGGAGTATGCATAGGCTGACACCAAATACCTATTGAGAACCCGGGACTTGGTTTTCACTGGATTTGTCCTGACATCGTGATAAAAAAGCTCATGTTTTGCAGCAATCCTTCATCCCTGTAAAGGCTTTTTTCCATCCCACAGGAAAGACTTCTGTCATCTGGGCTTGCTGTCTGAACGAAACATGAGGACTGGAGGAAAAATAGCAGACAAATAAGGCTCTGTCAGTGTTAAAACAGCTCTACTAGACTGATTTTCATCAGTGACCAGGGCTGAGGTCTTGGATGTTGCATGTATTTAGGCCAAAATATTGTGCAATTTCTGCACAAACGATGCCATTTTTGCCCCCATCACCAACACCACCAAGGGCCAACCCCACCAGGGACATCTCCCCGAACATCCTTGCAGAGGGAGAGAAGTCTTTTTGAGCTGGCACACACTTTCAGCAACTTCAAAAGGCAGCCTTTGAAGTTTAGCAGAGGCCTTTGAAGTCCTCCTGTTGCAAAAGGGAATGGAGGAGATGCCTCCTCCAAGATGCTCCACCGCAGGCAATGCAAGCCAGCGAGACACGCGGTGTCCCGGGCACTCGTGGTTGTATTCAGCAGCTGCCTGGGGATCCTAAATGAGACACCATTTCTGGCAAGTCATCAGCCCCCCCCAAATGCCCTAAATCCTGATCTACTTGACCTCAATAGCATCCAACAGCAGGGATGGGAGCCCAGTATCCTGGGACCTCAGCCTGTTCCCCGTTTGCAAAAAGCCAAGGGCAGACCTGTTAATACAGATTTAATGAAATGCAAGGGAATGATGGTAAAGCTGTCATTTAGCAAAACAAGTGTAGGATTTTGAAGCCAGGCGGCTTTTCCCAGCATGTCACTTTGCTTCTTCCAATGTGAGCAGACCAAGATGCTTCCAACCCCACTATGTCAATGCTGTTTAATTGTGACCATCATCTTTTAATAAATTTAATGCCAGCTCCTCTAACTTAAGTGGAAACCACAAGCAGTGAAAACCCCCCAAAACATTGGGTTTTGCTGAATTATTTTTATACCCCACACAAGCTGTACGGGCCCCAAACTCCACACCTGTGGGAACAACTGAAAAAACCCTGTATGTGAGAAAAATAGTTTAAATGCAGAAATCAAAGCTCAAATTTCTGTTAACCCTTTAAGGAGCTCCAAGAGATGATCACAACTCTCCAAATACTTAGGCAACACCTGCTGCCACCTCTGATGAGGACTACTGTGTTAAAAACCTTTGGTGTATTGAGTTTTTTCCCCCCACAGTGCAATTTCTGTAGCACCTCCAACTTCTGGGGAAGGGCTGGGGCCAGGTGTTGGGGATGCTTCAGGAGGAGTATGGTGTTTTCATCCTCCCAACTCCCAGGAGTTAAAATTGGTGATGCACAAACCCCACTGCTCCTCAGAGAGAGTGAAAGATTGGAGACATGCCCGTACACGTGCAATATTTCTGCATTTCTGCAAAGGCAAAGCTGCTTTGAGGCAAAGCATGGCTGGGAGAGACAAGTCCAACGGTGGAGCCCCGCCCCAGGCGACTCACATTATCCAAAGGGATTTATAGAGAAGTACTGGACACCCCCAGCCAGGATGTGCACATGTGAACACATCTGGAAGCAGGGAACAAAAGCTACGCCGTGCTGATAAATAATGGAAAGGCAAAGTGCCCCGCAGAAGCAGCACCACACTGTTCGGCCCCGGGCGAGACGCAGGAAAATTCAGTACCCATGAGGTCTGGAACAGTGGGATTAATAACACATCAATTTTAATGCAGGGTGGCTTGTGCGGGGTTTTTTTCCCCTTTTTCCTTCCTTTTTTTTTTTTTTTCTGCTTCACAAACAGCAAAGTGAATGTTTGAGCATCTCGGCGGGGGGTTAATGAGGACTCTGATTAGTTATTCAGATTTGCCAATGCTGCCTACATCCATCCTGGGATGGGGGAATAACAGGAAAGGCTTTGCAGAAAAAGCTCTTAAAGACGACCTGCTTGGCTTTCACAGCTCAGGCAGACACAGGTTTTGAGGGGCTTATGCTACAGGGGTCCCCAAACCCAAAATCCCAGTGCCAACTTTTAAGTGGAAAAGCACATTTTCCCATCATTTGTAGGGGATGCAAAAAGCTGCTACGTGCTGAGCCATGCCAATTCCTGTAAAGGTTCACATTTGGATTTGTGGAGGTTTTTTCCATGTTTAAAACAAATTCTTGGGTGCTATTTATAAAATTTGTGTACAATTATGGTCAGAAATGATGGATGGATGGATGCAAGGATGCACAGATGTGAGGATGCACAGATGCAAGGATGCATATATTTAGAGACGCATAAATGCAGACATGTATGGATGCATGGGATCATCCCGTGCATCTGATCATATGGATGCAAGGGTGCTCAGATGAACAGGTGCACACATGGGTGAAAGGATATATGGATACATGTAGGCAAGGATGGAAATAAGGATGGACCATCCCACAAGCCACCACTGGGCTGCAAAAATGCAACAACTGCATTTTTGCACAACATCCCACAGAAGTCTAACAGTGCCTTATGTCCTCCTTGCTCCTTGGCCCAGGGATATTTTAAGCAGGTTGAGCTCACCTCAGTATCTTAAGCAGACTGAACTGGTGTATTTTGGGGTTTATTTCTGGATTTAGGCTTTTGTTCTTCACTTGCATCAAAACTAAAAAGGGAACCTAAGAAAATAGATGGCAGGTGTCCAAAATGATGCTGCAAAAAGTCTTAAAGGATGCTGCCAGGAAGGCATTTCATGACATTGCAAAGGGGCTCGTCAAAAAAATCTAGGTGTTATTTAGGATTCACTCTAGGATTCACTATTTCTTCATCAAGGAGAAATATCTGAAGGAGGGGCAGGGTGGTGACAGCACTCTCTCAGTTCATCCCAACAACAAATGTCAGCACTTTATTTCTACATGGATCTAGAGACCCAGCTGGCTCTTGCTTCAAGCATCACTCAACTTAAGCATTCAACAGGAGTTCTGGGGGCTAAACTCCCCAGTATCCATGTCATTCCCCACAACACCTGACAGGATCTCAAAGGAAAGACAAACTGGAGTTATTCATCCAATTTTGCCAAGTCTGAGGTGCTCCATCCCAAACAGGCCCTTTTCCCCAGGACCGCCTCCACACGAGTTGTCTGGGTTTTAAAGGGTGTGTTAATTGTTCTGAATTAACAGCTCCAGATGGAGGAGCAAACAAGCAATTTGCAGCCTTAAGATAACACCCAAGTGATTTAAGTTGGGGTTTTAAAATTTTTGGTTTCAATGGGAAATCACACCATTCTGGTTGTGAATGCACTGGTCAGAGCTTGGTTAAAATCACCCATTTATCAGGAGTGGCTACTGGCACAGGGCCACAGGAGGAGGTGCAATGGAAGGACAAAAGGAAGAAATGAGAAGTCTGC